CCTGTGAGAGACAGTTGGTGCAGTGCACAACACAACACGGCTTAGGTACTTTGAGCTGTTTACCAAGTGACCCGAAGAGTGACTTCAGCATAGGAGGGTTGAAGAGAAAAGACTTTACTTACATTGTCTATAGCTCACATGGGCAGTAAAGGTTTCCAGAAATGTCACCCTTGGTATATCAGGTTTCACCTCGACTTGTACACTTATCCTGTTACTTTCAAAGAGGGCCATATTTAGTATTTAATTGTAGTCTTTATTGTATAATTTGTGATTGCTGTGTAGATTTGTTCACACTTTATGAATTATTCTTTTGCATTTACACTGATGGCCAGCCATAGTTTGTTTCACCAGCCTCTGGTTGGTTAAAAAGATGGCTGTGATGTAGAAAGAGCAGACCCGGTATTCATAAACCTGCCTTGCAGGTGTTTGACTCGACGGTTACGAGACAACAATTCATTAAATAGCCCGTAGAGTGTGGCTTCCCACTTTCAAGTCATTCTTAAGTCTTTTGCATGGTTCACTCGGGTTATTGTCATGCTGGGAATTATTGCCCTTCATCGACGTCGTATATTTATATTACTGTATATATGTACTCAGGTTCATCCAAGGGCTTATGAAATATTTGCAAGCTTACTCAAGTGGGACTCGAACCAGTGACATGCTTACTAGTGCGGGCATCTTACCACTCAACCAGCGACCTTGCCAAGGGTGGCCGACTAGTTCAAGTCAATAACCATCAGGCACCGAGCTAAACTTATTCATAAGATTTCCTATTTGCATTGGGAGATGTGAATTTTTATGTTGGAACGGTGAAGGGCCAAAAGTTAACATTTCCCCCACGGTGCAGTGGTAGGGACAAGTAGTTACCCTCTGCATCACGCTTCACTGCTGATGAATTTCCTCCCCCACGCTTCAGGGCACTCCAATAGCAGTACTACACCATTTTTGACACTTGAGTGCCCTGCTTGTGAAACTCCTTAAGGGTTTGCCAGGGTTCCCCCCCCCTATTACAGAACCGTGAACTTGACGTTGGCTGTAGTGGAGTTAAGTTTACTGCTCTAATTTCCTTTTTGCCACGCAGATTTCTCGAGTCATCTGCAGCAATTTTGACCTCTGCCATTCGGGACGGCATGCTACAGTAGTCCAGAGAATCCAAGAGATGCCCAAGGCTAGCCTGGGGTTCTGCCAGGCAGCAGCCAGCCAAGACCCAGAGGTATGTTTCGAATGGCACTGTACACGCATACATCTATTGCCAAACAGTGTGGCAGCCAGGCTACCACAGTCAGACTTTTGGGCTAACTTTTAGGAGCTGATACGCACGGCAATGTGTTGGGTAACAGTCGAGAAAAAACAGAACGACTTCAAAAACAACATGCATGCGTATTGCTGTGTCGATTGTCCTCATCTGAGTCTTGGTAAACAAGCTGTGAGTGTTGTGGTGGAGTCCATCAGAGGGGGCTTTTAAACTTCAGACAGGAGTCCACTCTCAAGTGGCAGGATGAATGCTTTTGCTGGTCCATTTGCATAGCTTGTGGCTTGACCTAAGGCCGAATGACTCATGGCTGTTTTGTACTTGACCGGTGCAGCATAGGGGGAAAGGTAAATGGGGAAGATACCTTAGAATGCCTCAGAATTGACCCCTTCCACTCTTTGACGGTCTGTCGATCTGCTACTCTGGAGCTTTTGCCCCAGCCTCCACTGTTCCAGAGAGAGCTATGCCACCCTCGTTAAGAAACAAACAAATCCCAGCAATCTAAGAGTTCAGTCAAACCGACATTCTTCATCGTGTGTATATGTGCCAGTGACAAGTGTTTCTGTGGTTAGGTGCAGATACAACAGCCTGACCTCAATGCCTGTAGTCTTTACATGAAGGGAGCACACAGAGTGGATTAAAACTGTCAGACAGTAGACTTTGATTTCTGAAGGGCGTTGCTCAATAAACGTATGTTCTTTACAGTAGGTGATGAGGATGAAATCAAATACTTGTCTTTAGAACTCGAAAAACACGAGACGTGTTTACTTCTAGATACGTGTACGTGTTTTGTTCAACACATTAACCACTTCGTGCCGGGGCATTTTTCAATGTTGATGATGCTGGGCCGGCATGACTGTCATTTTTTCCATTTTCAAAATCCTTCAAAAATTCATCATTTCATTTAAAACGGTCGTTTATAGCCACAGGAAGTAATCTTTAGGCACTACTCTAAGTTGACAGGTGACCTTCATTGACGCCCAAGTATTTCAGCCAGGCCTGCAGCCTTGTAAAAAGAGCCCAGATTGTGCGGTGTTATGTAACTTTCTTTTGTTCACGAACCTGGCTCAGTGCACTGCTGACCTCTTTTCAATAGGGGCAAGATTAACGTGCAGCGGTGCTGTGTGGCTCATCGCGTGGTGGTGGAGCGCTTTTGTCCCCAATGGTAATCCGCTTGCTCTCAATGCCCCAAACCCTGGTATACGGTTTCAAAACAAGGCTGGATTATCACAACTGTTGACAGTGAAAAATGTCGATAATTCCCAGCTGCCTGGTCTTTTGTTCGGAGTACGGTCTTTTGTTACAGGGCCCTGTTTCCTTTGTCCGAGACCCCGGCGATGCATATAAACCATACATCTCCGAGTCCGGAGTCCCCGGCAGGAAGTGGTTAAGGAATATTGGCCTCTGTTGCTATTCCGTTACCAAATTAGGATATGGAGGATGGTGAGGTTCCACCAACTCTGCACGAAATGATGGGCAACATGGATGTGGGTACCAGTGGTAGTAGGGAACCAACGGTGAATGGATATCAAGAACCCAGTGAAGAGCAACCCAGCAGGACTGGTGAGATTACAAGTACGGCACTGTGAAAAGTCGCTTGCATTTGATAAGTTAAGCATAACATCTTAAACATTTAGGGTCCTTTTGTCTTCTAGGCTACGGCAAGCTATGAGAAAAAAATTCTTATCGAAAAATATTCAGTCTGATGTTGATCACAAGGAACAAAAAATGGCCTATTTTATTTATTTCAGGAGTTTCATTGGGGTACCTTATTGCCTCTTTGTTGTTTGACAGAAACTCAGCCAGCAGAGGATGAGGAGGATGGATGGACAGTGGTCAGAAAAAATAAGAAAAAATGACATGAACTGCAAGATTTTTGCTAAAATCAAAACAATGAACATCAACTTGCATTTCATGAGCCATCAGTACTACTCATTTGATTTGTACATGCAAGCAGTGTTGACATCAAGGCAGAACTGGCTGAGCAGTGATGCTCACTTGATCTGTGGCTGAACGTCCATCATCCGAAAAGAAATGGCAAGCGTTCATGCTGTGGAGCTGTTTCTGCCACAGATTCAGGGCATTATTGATGGCACACAGGGTATCTTGGTCATGCATACCCCTGGACTCCATGCAGGAACAGTCGATGAAACTGAGTCAGTCACAAGAGAGAGTGAAGTAGGACCCATCATACTACGTGCACATTGGCTAGCATTCGTATCATGCCTAGTATGCACAACCAGTTTTCGTCTGAATGTGCACAAATGGATCATTTTTTTCAAAACCATACCTAGGGCTAATTTTGTATAACTCCTATGCCCGGAGATTCGCTGAGCTTATTTATCCAAAAAGAGGGTTACCAGCCAAAGATTCATGTGAAATGCAAACAATTTCTAACTGGCTCCCAACTGTTTTTAGCTTAACACATCAGTGTGCTAACCATCAATTCTGTTTAGCAGTTCAACCAAGTTGGAGGTAGCTCTCATCATTAATTTTCGCTTTGTTTTTTGTTTACTGTTTGAAGGGAATTTTATACATATTGTCGATAATAATTTATTGGTAGAGAACATTCTACATTGTTCACAGAGAAAAACAGAATAACAGGTCCCTAGCCATTTCTGATTTCGATGACGTTGAGCCTTTGCTCCTGTTTGTTAAATGCAGTGCTCGCTAACACACACTGGCACACAGATGTAGGGCCATTTTTCATGCTCTGTTCATCATGGGCTCATTCAGACGTTACATTTAAAATGATGAAACTTTCTGTTGCCCGGCACACTGCTCTTACCAATCAGGGTAATTGATACATTTATAGTACCCCCACTTCTTCTAAAGATTTTATCCAGTCTTTGTTGCTTGGTTACACATACTGCGCAAACATGCTGTGTACCATTTACTTTAACTGTAAAACCTGCTTTGAGTGTCTTTGTTAGTTCCAAGCAATGTAAGCTGTTGCCTCACCAGTTTGAGGCACTTTATTATGACAGAAATGTTATAATTTAACTTTTAAGTGTGGTGACTTATTAAAATTGTTTTCCTTATATTTCTTTTGTTTTTAAAAAGATTATTATATTTTCACAGTCATGTGAATAAAGTGGAGCAACAATGCAAATATTGTGTCAATTATTGTGCTTCGTAAATATTATTTTACTCCCCCACACCTTTGCTGCAACCCCAAAACTTCACCCAAAGTTGTAATTTTGACCTGTCAGTTATAGAGAAAAAAAGCGTAAACTTGTATGTCAAGACTGTGTATGCAGTATGGAATGAAAAGAAAATGGCTTTGCTCCTGAGATGTAAATGAAGTTTCAAAGACTCAGTGCTACATGTCCTTGTATTTCCGGAAAGCTTGGACTTGAAAACCTCAGGTATTCAACAATTTTCTTTGGTCCAGCTTGAAAAGGATTACAGCAAAAGGCAACTCATTTATTGTGGTCTACGTCTAATTCCTGACAAATTAGCATTTGACTTCTTGATCAGCCTTTACTCAGGTGATCAATTAACTTTAAAGCTCATTTTAAAAACAGGTTGTTTTTGGAAATGACCATACTGGGCAATTCTTGCATACATTTATTTCCCCACAGACTCGAAAACATGTTTGCCAATTCCAGAGTTCGACAGACTATGGTAGCAGTGTTCTTGCTGGAATAAGCAGTCCAAAGTCCCCCATCAAAAGCAAAAATATGATGAATTGTCTTCTGCAAGTGCATTGATGACAGCTCTGTTTGCTCTGTGCTCCATTCTGCTCCTACTAAACCTCCAAACCTTACCGGGCTAATGTGGTCCGGCAAATTTGATCCATTGTCAGTTCCGTGAAGGAAGGTTGGCAGGGAGGAGTTGGCTTTCATCCAATGATTGAAGCTAACTTCCCTTTCAATCAAACACTCAAGCCATCTTTAAAGCATAAAAACGAATGCCTCTCAAGTGGAAGAAGGGCACTAGAGAAGTCACAAATTATTATTCAAAGTGGGAAAAAATCCCATGTTGGGTGGAAACCTTATGTTGATGTATTGACATGCTCTGTCAACACCAGTCAAATCTGAGCAACAAAGTTAATTGATTTTTTCTTTTAACTGTGCTGACGTAGACAACCATCACTTTGAAATACTCTTTTGTTCATTAGGTACTCAGTTGGCCATCTCATCAAAACAAAATTGTAACCCAATCATTTCAACTTCTGAATACGCCTTTCTACAAGTGCCATAAAAAAGATCTTGGAGTTGAATTTTAGGTTGCTGTATTTACACGACGTTCCTCACGTGTATAAAGACCCTTTTTGCACGATGAATAGCAGAATAGCAGGTGGAACCAGCCACCTTATGTGATGTCCATCATGAGATACAAAATTCTCAGTTTAAACATAGCAAGAAACAATCTAGGGAAAAGAAACTTGGTTGTGCTGTGGAGCCACAAGAAGCTGAAAGTGCATCCCACTTGAAAATTGATGAATAACTAGAGATTCTGTCGTGGATTTAATCATTGGGGAGTACCATAATTTCCTAGCAGCACTCTAATGTGGTCAAATTCAATTCATCCAGTGTCTTGCATCCCGTGAGTGAAACGGGTCTGTATAAATATCACATGACCCCTGGCGCCATCCTGCCAAGTCACTAGGACTACGTCTGCCGACTGACTGGTTGCTTTTGATGAACAAACAATCTGCCGCGAGCAGAAGCACCCCCTCATTGGTTGAAAAGAGCCATATTGGTCAGGAGTGTTCATTGTGTTGTGACCATAACATGTGCATTTAATAGTTGTTCATGAACCAGTGAAGTTCAGTTCCAACCAAAGGAACCTCCATTGCAAAGACAACTGTGCCCTCTCTTGGTCAACTTTCACGGCTCACAGGACAAGATGAAGATGTCTCATAATTTATCGCTGAGTATACATGCATAAATATATTCCAAACTTACACTTCATTTAGATCTCGATCTCTATGTGAACATTTCAAGATCTTCAATTTGTGTGCATCTACAAACATTTAGTCGACCAAGTCTGACTGCTATTAATTCATATTTATTACCTGATTTGTTACAACTACTTGTGACACAGTACAGCTGTTGTAACAGACTTTTTTGCCACCTTCAAATGCAACTGACGGCATACGAATTCTTAAACCAACTATACAAATGCCAAAAATAAAATTAAATGCTTGCACCTCGTTTTAGACCCTGTGGTGCATCAACTTTTTTCCTGCTTTAAAAATGTGTAGACCCTAGTTATCCACTGGCAATGGTCCTTGGAACTTCATGCCAGACTTCCCACAATGCTTTGCAGTCTGCCATCTTTGATGTAAGGCCATGTCCAAATAGAGTGTCTCGTAGCTCAGACTTCAGGTTTGTAATATAATCTACCATTGAGAATAGCCGCAGCCATGTACAACACTATTCTAAATAAGGCTTACATCAAAGATGACGGATCAATGAGGTTTGTAAGATATGAACAATGTCAGTGGAAATGATCTATTTACGATGATCACACCCCTTCATACAAGCTGGTCTAGCAACAGTCTACTAATCGGCATCAAGAAAATGCCTGTGATTTGCTCTCACAGGCAGACAAAAAGTGTCTCCACCCCGAAGTGGGGTCCAAACCACCCCCCAAGTGACAGGCAAAGTTAAAATCAAGGAGAGTCTTTCCACTTGAAATCTTGGCTTTGTCTGTGTCACAGACTTCAGTTTTACAAATTCGGTAACCTGAATGGAGCCCCTAGTTTTAGGCAGCTCAATTTTTTCTGCAAAAGAATGACACTGAATTGGAGATCGTTTGAGGAAGTTTCAGTTGGTTTTAACAGTTAATTGTTCAGAAGTGATTATGCAGCTCTAAATGGAGCCAAAGATATTTTTCCCCAAGTCACTTTTTCAACTCTATGTCATCACAAGTCAATCTGAAGTCATTATGGGCCAATCAATGATGAACTGGTAAATAAGCTGAGTCTATGTGAACTGAATAAACTGTGATAAAGGTATCTATTTTGATTCTTCAAAAACAGAGACTTGCTTGCCGTTGCATCTGTGACAAACTCAAAAAACAACAACAAAAACAACAACAACAACAAAAAAGACAATAACACTTCAAAGTAACCATTTTGGTGTGTCTAGAGTTTGTGACACGGTGTAAGAACAAACATCTTGTAGTTGTAGTGGCTTCACCGGGCAAATCATCTTACAAGCAATTTGACATGTAATTCGACTCTGACGGGTGATTTGACATGAATTTCAATTTGACTCGTAAATAGACGTGCAATTTGGCATGCATTTGACCTGTGTGACTTGACGAGTGGACGACAAGAATACAGCTACATTCCTCACCATCTCAATACACAAATACCGATAAAAGCCCCCCCCTTGCTGGAGTGCATTAGGAACCAAACAATGCTTTCATTAGTGATGCTGTTCGTTAAATCTCCAGTAAGCTGGCAAAAATGTGATCGACACCGCAGCTAAGTGAACAGTGATGGTCCTCTGAAACACTCAATTAACATTAATGCTACCGTTACAGTGAGGCAATGCATACATACAAAACTGGTCAAAAGTATAAATAAATACTGTGGAGTATAAATTTCCTTTGTTCTGTTCTCCCCTCATTTATAAGAAAGGGAGAAGATGAGGGCATTTGGTGCTGTAATGTCAGCGACAATGAGCTCCTGTTTCTCTTCAAGTCCAAGTTCTGCCAAGAAAAGCAGGAAGCAAGAAAGATAAGATTAACCAAAAAATACAATGGAATCTGTAGCCCTTCTGTGATCACATTCTCTCTACTACTACAAGTGGCCATATTGCAGAGGCTTACAGAGTAGAAGTATCTATTTGTCTAATTCAAACGCAGAGTTTTATTGTGTGGAGCTAGAATTTAACACTTTAACTATGACATATCAGCACAGTTTGGTAAGGGAATGCAGGGGACATTAACTTTTGCACAGTGAAAGGTTCACGATGATGAATACTGAAGTGATGACTAAGTATGTACTTGATATCTAATGGAAAATCTCACGCAGTAAGGTAGCCCTTTTCAACATCTCAAACAAATCGTCAAATTCCCTCAACAAAGAACATGATTTATTTGCACTGCGCACATTGAGGCCCTCTTGTGTTGGAAATCAAAAAGGTACATGTACAGTCAAGTGCGGGCACTTTACTTGCCTTAGTTGCCATGCAGTACCGTCCTCCTATGGCAACAATGTTGACAAATTGATAGGGTATGCTAATTTTTTGTGCACATTCAGTCGAAAAAATTGGCCCTCTACGTAATACATTTGGCTTCAAAGACTGACTCAGACATATGAAACTAGGTGATTGGAGAGGATTACCACAGAAGTTTACGCACTGCAAACTAGGCCACTAGCCACATCGAAATTACATGGCAACGACTTTGTACGTGCCTATGAAAGGCACTGGCCAGTGGATAGAACCATTTCCCATAGATGTTTCTAACACTACAAGCCACAACCAAGCACATTTCCACGTGGCTACTATGTGGCATGTTGACATGCACTGCAGTGCCCTAAGTACCACATAAGCAAAATAGATCAGTGGGTAAGATGGGATGAAAGCTGACCTTTCAACTTCTTGGGTAGGTTTTCCTTGGTGCGGACGCGTATGGCTTCCGGGTTCTGCATGTATAATGTCTTGTTCTTGCCATTTACAACAGTGGTAATACCTGGGGCCTTCATTTGTCTGAGCAAACAAGTAAGAAAGGTGAATATTGTTACTTCAGTTCATCTAGAAAGACTTAGGCACAGCTATCTAAACGTAATAAACCAGATTTTGAAACTAAATGTGGGGTTTATTCAGTTATAAAGAGCACAACTTATCAGTTTTTACAGCCAAGAAGAAGTTTGTAAATGGCTTCCTAGACTCGATATGGAAGAATCTTTTAAGTTGAAAGCAATTCTTTTTATGAAACTGCTTCTCGGGGACATTGGTTATCAAAACTTTGAAATTAGCTCTTCAAAAATGGTACCTGTATTGTATGTACATTTTAAAGTCAAGTCACATATATCTGGAAGTACTTGTCAAACATCTTTTCTGAAACTCCTTTAAAAAGTCTGAAAATCTGTCTTTGCTTGTGTCACTTCAACCATGTATTTGGCCCTCTTCTAAAAGTCTAACATCGTCTGCTGCCTATTCTCCTTGATGGAATGCAAGCGTCCACACTTATACATGTACTTGTCAAACACTTACAAACTAGCACTCTCGGTGAGGTGATCGATCAAGTTCTGCAGGGTGGCATCCTCCGGCAGTGTTAGAACCTGAGGTACCTGACTGCATGCCACGCAGTCTTCCTGTGGCAGGAACGAGAGCGGTACCAAGACTCAATTACTGCATGCATTACAAGTTGTATGGGGCGTTTGCCTGTACATTGTACTTGCATTGTTTTGGGGAAAAGTGGCTCCAGTTTGGAAAGGAACGAAACAGCTGCTAGAACACCAATGGACTAATCCAGGGAGAAGCTGTATTAAACTGTGGTGGTACCACATTCACACCTGCGCTCTTCAGCTTGACATGTGCGTTAATTTAGCAGCAAATGCAGCATCCCATTGGTCAAACAGACATGTAACGTGCCAGTCCTACCTGTCCATGAGCATTCAAATTTGGTTATTGAATTAGAGTATACAAGCTTCAAACCCATCAGTGCCTTTCATGTCATACCATCTTTCATGTATTTCCACTGAACGACCCTAAATATGGAAATATCCCTTGGCAATAGTCAAACAAAAATAAAACCACACAAACATGGTATAACGGATTAAGCTTTTCAGGAAGACATCTGTAAGAAACAAAAAGGGACTCTTTTTACATGTTGGAACAGGTTTTTTATAATTAAAGTGGAAAGTGGTTGGTTTTATTTAAATCAATGAAAACAGTTCAAAGGGATATTTTTAAATCCAAAACTGACTAATCTGTGGTAAAATAAATTATACCCTACGATCCTTTTGGTCACTAATCTCAATATAATGTCCACTATAAAATGGTGCCATCTGCACACACCTGTCAGACCCCACACCCAGGATTATCCAGGACAGCATGTAAGACATTGTCTTAACGCCATGCTAAAGGGGTCAGATTATCGTGACAGCACTTTCTGCTTGTGAAGGCGAGAGACTGACCAAATTCGATAAAAAGGGTATCACAAATGTGTCACGCACATATGTGTTGAGAGTTAACGAAGCAGCACAAAGACTTTGTAAACCTTATTTCCTCTTCTCCCTAGACTACAAGGCGGCATTTTCCGACCTTTTTCTCTGCTTCAAAGGTGTATGTATACAAGCCGTCCGTGTCGTTGAACACCATGTAGTTATTAAGGGGTCCGCAGCAACTGTAATCAGATTAGAAATGTTAGGCTAGATTAGTACACATCAAAATTGATTGTTGTGCGGAAACCCTTAAGGCAGCGGAGACAAACTGACTGAGAAGCAGAAATGAAAGTGCAATCAGTTATATCCATAGAAGAGCTAAAAAGGTAGAGAAGACTAGACTTAATTGTAGTAAGCATTGCTTTTACTCCAGTTTTGGTTGATCTGCTAAATGTACCCACACTCACAAATAAGACGTGGTGCACGTTTGTTCTCTCTGACAACTTTTTCCTTCTACAAATTTCCTTGCTGAATACTGCCGTGCTTCTTTATTGATGTGCTTCAAAACCCGTTCACTGATTAAAAAACATAAACCCACACAAAACAAAACAAAACCTGGTCCTATTGCCTATGTAAATCTTGCCACTGAAGTCAGGTGGAAAATTATAGTGCCTGGAAAAATTTGGTTGTTAAGTCAGGAACATGGCACGCAGAAGTAAAATATGTCCATCTATTATGATTGATTTGAGTTGCTAGTAAAACTATTAGGTTTCTATTGACTCTGACACGCCAGCCGGAAAATGTGGGTGTTATATTCCCATGCCACTCTAATTGAACAGTATGAGTTAGCTTACAAAGAGATAAGTGCAGACCTGAAAGGAATAGGGCTGAAAACTACATCAATCATGAAACAAAGAATTCTGGGTCATCAAAGCTCCACCATGTGTTTGATAGAAATGGGAATTGTGTAATTCAAAATACGATAAAAGATTAGATCCCTGGTGTTATTTCAGCTATTAATAATTTACTTAGAATGCTTTTTATTGATTTCTGATATGTCATAGGAAAGTAACACAAGTACAGCATTTCATTAAGAACGTGATACGGTACATATACAGCAATAGTGCAAGGATATAAACTGATGCAGCATTTTAATGATAATTTTAATGATGTCCCACAGTGTCTCCTCTTTAGAAGAACATAAAACATCCCATTTGGCAAACAATCTGAGAAAAGTTTCACATTGTAATTTCTAAAACAACACACAAAGGAACAGAAAATTCAAAGTAAGCTCTATTTGTACCCATCTCCAGGAGAATTTTTTTTTATAGTTTACTAAAGTGTCTCAATTCTTTTGCTTGAACCAGATTTATAACAAATATTCAAAGTCTGGGACCATTACTTGCTCAAGTGTTTTCTGTCACTAGTGCCATTTGTGCCATCATTAGTGTCAGCTTCAATGCTTTGTGGCTGGCCATAAGACTAAATCTACAGCTGTAACACTGACATTTTGTTTGTTTTTTAAGACGTAATTTACAAAATAGAGAGAGATTCACAGGTTGTGAGTGCAATATTCAATTGGCGCTCTGCTCCCAACATATGCGTGCAGTTTTATTGGAGTCTATATCTGGACTTGAACTAAAGAAACTTGATACGATACGGAAACGTTGACAAAGGCAAATTGTGATGGTTGGAGAAGTGGTCCGCTAGTGCTACAGCATGCTGCCCAACCACAATCCACCAGTATTGCAAATGCCAACATCACTTGTCAGTCCAGTGGTTTATCATTAACAGAGGTCTACCTTGGGCTTGGCCTACGAACAATCATCGACTGGGCTTTCCAGTGTTAATAGATAAAGAGTTAATGAAGTTTAATAGAACCTCAGAGGTTGATTGGACAGTATTATGATTAATGTAAAAGCGGGCAACATCGAACGTTGCCATGGCGTATGTGCATGACGAAATCTGGTGGCTAGAGTCTGAACCTTAAAAGCACCACTTGTGTGCTCATGTACAATTTGTGATGTTTTCTGAGCCATGTAATCAAATGTCACTTTTGTCTGACTACTGTGACATGCTGCATACTGAGAAGTATACTGGAAATGACCCTTCTTGTTCCCGGGCCAGTCTCATTACTTGATGACTTCACCGCTACCGCGCGATACAAATGGAAAGACAAAGTGTACATGCTACCGCAATATGTCCGGGTGAAAGAAGTCATTAGTGAAGAGAACGCAGAGGCAGTGCGTGGACTTTGGATATGCCTATAAAGGCATATCCAAATTTATATATGCCTATGAAATTTACTCAACTGGCACTGGAAAACTGGGAGTGTAGAAGGAACACTTGAGCATCTTGACAAAACTATCCTTAAGTTATATAATCTTATGACAGGTGGATGAGTTACTCCAGTCGGTGGTGGATAATGGAAGATAAGATATCGCCGATGGATTGAAGGGAGTAGGAATTATTATTTTTACTCATCGGGAGGTCGTTTCTGCTTTGACTGCAACATCGAAGTGTGGCTTCAGTTGCCGGATACTTCACATTGTAAAAATGGTTAATGTTTTGGGCATCATCAGTGTGATCATTGGCGTGCTTGGAATGGTGGGGAATTGCGTGGTGTGCATCGTCATATGGCGCATTCCACACATGCACACCGTGACTAATGCCTTTCTGTGCAATCAAGCTGTCGCCGATTTGGTGGGCTCATTGATATTTCTCCTCTTTTTCAACATCCCTGCACTGGAGCGCCTTCCTCCGGGGATCCGTGGCTGGCTGTACTGCTACCTGTGGAAGTCAGAGGCCACCTTGTGGATGTTCCTCTTCACGTCTGCCATGAGCCTGGTGCTTGTGACCTTGGAGCGGTACTTGGCTATCGTCTACCCTTTTAAGTACCAGGTGCTGCTGACGTTGCGCTGGGTACCTGCTCTCGGCATAGCCATGACATGGCTCATTGGCACCAGCGTGGCACTGTGCATCTTTGCACTGATTGATTACTCCGGGCCTGACTGCAAGTGTAAAGTAGCCATGCCCCCGCCCTCGGGGCACCCTCTGAATAAGATCGTCCAGGCTACCAACGTGGTCACCTTTGTCATTCCAGCCTGGACCATGCTCTTCGCCTACATCCACATCGCCATCATACTCAAGCGGGGAGCCAGGCAAACCCAGCCGGTTGGAGCTATCAGCATGGTCATGACCCAAATCCAGAACAACGGGGCCGCATCACAACCCCCATCTTCAACCGAGCCTCTCCCAGAAACCCAGGGAGACTCGCTCCTCCGCGCCCGTCGAAATGTCATCAAAACGCTGGTGCTGGTCTGCTTGGCGTACTTCATCTGCTGGTTGCCCAACACTGTCATGTTGGCCGGCCACTTCAAAGGCCTTCCCTACAGCATCGCCACTGTTCTTGCTGCCACCAATTCCTGCATCAATCCAGTCATTTACACAATCAAATACTGCTCCTTCAGGAAGGGGCTACGGATTCTCGTCTGTGGAAAGCACTCTACAACAGTACGCACTGATGGCTCATAGAAACTTTGCATGTGATGTCCACTTTGTTGGTGGATCGATCAATTCCTGCATCGATCCAGTCATTTACACAATCAAATACTGCTCCTTCAGGAAGGGGCTAAGGATTCTCGTCTGTGGTAAGCACTCTACGACAGTACGCACTGTGGCTTATAGAAGCTTTGCATGTGATGTCGACTTTGATGGTGGATCGAGGTTGCTACCGGCTTACTGTTGTCAACAACATGCATCATGCAGCCTCACCTAGCAATACACAAGTGAAATGCAACTGTGCGAGACCTTAAATTATACACTACGGCATGCTCCATGAATGCTACACACCAACCTTACTGACTGTGAACTCATTCGTCTGTGGACCACACTAGTGCGAATGCACCAGTAATTTCTTTTGACAAAAAAATTGCCCACCAAAGCACGGTCACTGAGATTGGTTTTACTGAAATTCTTTTTCTGCAAGACTTGAACGATGTGACGTCTATTTTCCCTGCAAAGAGCTCCCTGCAAATGTTTGCAAAGTTTACCCGAGCTTTTTTTGATGACAGAGAGAATCTAATGGTTCACATAATATAATGTTAATCTTGTATTTGGTTGATAGGTGCAATGTCAGCACAAAGTAATACGCTGTGCAGTGTCAACTTTATTGATATCAATGCTGTGCTTTTGTTTGAGCCAATCTTAGACTATTACGTTATGTCTTGGCATATACTGACATCATTTCATGAAATGTAGACATAATGTTCTGATGCAAAACGTTAGTAGCAGAGTGCCACAAAATTGCATTTTGTGTAAACTTGTATTGACTTTTAAAAGGCAAAGACCAAGAATTCCAACATGGACAATAGTGTATAATCTTCATGACCATAATTATTAAATACTCGGTCCAACTGGGTAAGAAGTTTGCTTCTGCACAGACTGAGTTCATCCAATAGGTTTTATGAAATCTGCCACTGCATGGCCAAGATGGACACAGGAGACGGGATCGATCTCAAATCATCATATAATTTGCATTTCACCCTCTGAAGAGTGAGCTATTACATTACACAGCCAAGTGGGAGCGTGACTCACTGTGAGTCACACTGTTAATTAGGCACTACACATAGTATTTGTTTCTACTTCTATGTCTTCCTTTCATTAATATTTTGTCAAATAAATACAATGGAAATGGGCATTTCAACTTCCCCCCCCAAAAAAAATCTCGCCGCTGTGGCTGGGCTATGTAGGGCCATCCAAACACTACGATAACAAAGCCTTGTATGACTCATTCACCCTTGTAAATTTGCATTTAAGTACCCGAACATTCTGGACACACCAACCAAAGTTCTTCCTTTTTTTAAAAATGCGACCAGCCCCGTCACCAGCTTCAGACTATAAGGGGGGGCCCCACATCACAAGAACAAAGTATACAGCATGCAGATTATTCACATATTCAGAATCTGACGTTAGTGGCTCATTTAGTGGATGTCTTCAGATATTTTTGTACGCTTGTGTTTTTTTACCGATGGGGAGGTAGGCAGCTTTTCGCCGGGCGCCCCAGCCCCCTTGCGCCCCCTTAGCAATGGGCCAGAATGCAACTAAGGTTTGTATTTGTCAAATTACTTCAAAAAAAAAAAATCCCTCGAAAAAGGCAAGTCGAATACTAGAGCTAGTTTTCTGAGAGATGTGATTTTTGTTATACAAGCAATTTTACGACGCAAAATTAAATTTAGACACGATCTAGGCACGGTACTCAGGTGGAAGTGACCACTGTTTAATTTAAATCACTCGACATCAAATGAGGATCTTTGTGACATACATTACGGTTAGAGATGGAAATAAATAGAAATTCACAGGTACCTGGACGCTATCTTGAAGGCTTCTGTCACACACTGCGCTGCTATCGTGGCATTAGTGGATGCGACAGCTGGTATGATGTGCTTGACAACACCTGCACAGTGCAAGGACTGACCGTTTAGGGGAGAAAAAGGCTACTTGACCGCCGAGCTGATGGCTCAGCGCAGAGCAGAGTGATCACGTGTCAGTCACGGTTCACGTCAAAAGTTGGTCCCCTTCGCAGGGGTTTTAGAGCTGCAATGAATCTGACCGACGCTTGCGTGGTTGTACCTTGAGGGCTTGCTCTCACCTTTTCATTAATCATTCACATTGCCTGTCTGCGGTCATGGCTGAATGAATAACAACGATGTCAAAAGCTTTTGTATGGCTGGCCAATTTCAGTGGTGAAATAATCAAATAATGCACATTTGGCGCAGTGCAATATCAGAGTGTTCGACGACCCATGTGTCTCTCAGTGACTCATAACAACCACCCTAGATTATATCACCCTGTATGAATCTTTCACATGTTTACAATTTGTGATTTAGTATGTCAAACCCAATGACCCAGTTTGTCATAAACTTTGTTGTCCCAAACCAGGTTTAACTTTAGTTATTCAATTAAGACCAACTGACCAACAAAGCACCATCCTACACGTATAGACCAACTGACCAACAAAGCACCATCCTACAGGTATATTTCGCTTTCTTTGACTCATACTATATCACCCTGTGTGTTACTCTTACATGGAAAACTGCTGTCACTACCCTTGTGTCACTGTGTGACGCCTATTTACCTACCTTGTGTCAACCTATATGTCACCCCCATGATGTTGAACTGGTCAGCTCGTTCCTGTGCCTTCTCAAATATCCACTGGATGTGGGTTGGGTCATCTCCGTCTATAGCTACATCCTCTAAAGAAAATATCAACCGAGAACACACTGGCTGATGGTTCGTAAAATCTTTGATTAATCTTGCTACAATAACGAAATTTCATTGACTTTGAACAGCGTAGGAAACATAACTACATTACATTGCCTGTAACTTATAACATAAACTGCACATTGAATAAATGATGTAAAAAACATAAAATAAAACAGTTATGGTGTTCTGAGATCCCCAGTTGCATGTCTTGCAAGCTAACTCATAGTGATACAAAACTTTAATGATGACCATTTTCTTGCCGAGTGAAGTGGCAACTTTGTTTCACACACGTCTGGATCTCAGTCATTGGTTCCGAGGCTGGGTTGCATTGGGCCGGTTCTGGCGTCAGTGAACCAAACCCCAGATCACTGATCGCGATCCAGCTCTGCGCCGAACAAATTTGAGGAGCACTGTTGTGTGGAATGTGTTGTTTGACCCCCCTGACTCCCAACAATGATGCAAAAAACTTGAGCTCTGTCTCAAGTGCTGTGTGTCCTTAGGGACTTTTCAAAAACATGATGTCACACATCACGGTAGTCATAACTGTCAAGGGAATTGGAGCTAAACTTAGAGTCCAAATGATTTGAGCATTTTTTTTTGGCAACAGTTAAAAAAAAACCAAAGTTTCCAATTTTGTAAGAATGTAGTTCAATCTGACAAAAACGAGCCTGAACCTTTCAGTCTATATTTCGTACAGGGTGAAAAAAAAGTGTGAAATAACAACGTGGCTTACTTCCAAAGGGTTCTTCTTGAGGCCACAGCAAGATCTTGACATATTCTATGCAGTGCTCAGGCAGCCTGGGCGTGTGGGCGATGGTGCACATCGGAAAATTAATCTGAAAGAATGACAAATTACGCACACACGGAACCTTAACAGCGACCACCTCAAGAGGTTACGCTAGAATTAGCTGATCAAGGTTTGTTTAATTGATTGATTGATTGACAAGCACCACTCTTTAGATAATGAACGACAAAAGGGTGGATGCGACGGCTGACACCTTAAGCATGTACTTGGCCACGCCCCCATGAAAACAAGTAACTACATTAAGCTAAATTCAATTCATTTTAACCAAAACAAAAACAAATCAAGGGTAATGAATGAGTAAGTGTGAAACGAACTACAAATTGGTGAAGTGAGAGAATGGATCACTGACGTTGAGGGATTTGACAGGGTGGAAAAAAAATTGCCCGTTAGTGGGAATGCTAACGGAAATTTGTAGTGTCAAAAGTAAGAACCTGCAGGGGTTGCATTTCATGATGAAAAACAAATTGAACCTCAGGGTCAGTGGCGGACCGGAGCCCGTCACAAGACCGACACAGTACAACGTAATAATAAAAATGGACCGCACTGTCTTGAAAGTCAATGTAGTACACCTGCTTGTGCAAAACGTACATGAACCTTTCCCTCCCAGAAAATGAAGCTCGCACAACATTCTTTTTCACAAAGAATTTGGTAGAGTTCGGAGATAAATATGTCAGCCACTAAACTGCCCGGCTTTTACTGGTTTCAGTGCTGCAAGACTGGTGTAAAAATCACTGGTCTTGGTCCAACGGTCTGGTGGGTTTTTGGAACAGTGACCTGTGACGTGAATTCATGAAAATTGGACACCTCAAAGCTTTGTCCTCTGTTATTTTATAGGAAAACACGACACATGGTGTGTTGTCTGAAGAAAGATCCTTGCTTCTTTTCCTCTCGCGTTTCAAAATACAGCGATTGCAGATCAAGGTGGTGAATTTTGCATACATTCTGAGGTGTGCATGGATTTGGGCAAATTGCTAACATGCCATTGGCCACAGAAGCATTTAATGCATATGTATGGCTGTGATGTAATTTGTGGTCAGTTCAGTGTAATGCAAACCATGGCAAGACAACTTGTCACTTGAGTTACGAGATAACAAAATTGAACATTTAAAAAAAAAAGTTTATTCACAGAGCTCAAAGTTTACCAAGTTAGAGAGTAAGCACCCCTCTTCAGACTTTGAAATTGTTTGTCTTGGTGAATTTTGTATTTTTGAATTTTTCTGGGGGGCAAAAACTTGCACAAATGAAAAAAGTTCCTTTCAAGCCTTAAGCACAAAGGCCATACCTGGGGCGGGTAAAGCTCTAGCGTGCACTCAATGCAAGCTGTCATTCCTGGTAGGATGACCCGCGCATTGCCTTTGAAGGCTTCCGTGCCTCCGTCGATCATGGGAACAATGGACGAGGGGTCCACGACTCCATCTTCGTAATTCAACAGGCTAAGCTGAGAGTGTTCACGAAAACAGAATGAACCAAAAAAAAGTGAGACATGTGACGGCCTCAATGCATTTCAATAAAAACACAAGTCTTAAGCATTTATCGTAAATGCTATTTTCAATAGAGACGGCACCTTGTGTGGAACAAAAGCTGCTGATTTGAGATCCACAAGTGCGGAGAGGGAAATATTGATGAAATGGCAAAGCTGAGTTTTGATAGTTGTCAAGAATTAATACCCACCACCTACACAATAGTCATACACAGAGGCTCCAAACTCCTGTAGAATTGATTATGGCATACCTGTCATTTTCAGGGATCCAGCACAAAAATGGGTGATCAAATCATACACAGTTGATACGAATTGAGGAAGCATTCCACAGTACACAAAAGCCTATGCCACTTGCCCAGTGTTGTAGTCGGGAAACCAGACACAAGACCATGCACAAGACTAGTCATAAGTAATAGGGTGAATACTGACAAAGGAATGCTTTTGTTGCAGTTCATTTGAATGGCTTGTGGTTTGAGTTCAGACGGGAGGTTTTGTGTTGGTCTTGTTTGGTCTTGTGAAGGTCTTAGAGTGGTCTCGACTACAACACAGCATGTGCTGCTAGCACATTTAACAAGAAAGTGACTGCATGATTTGCAAAGTGGCTCACCATCATGCTGTTCATCCAGCGTCTGGCCACGATGGAATCCAATCCATTGATAACGATATGAAACTCTATCAAAGACAATAAAGTTAACATGAGCGCATGGCTTCATTACAAACCACAAAGGCGCGAGTTTGAACTGGAATTACTGTTCATGACAGTGGAGATAATTTACCCAAAACCTTTTACTTTTTTGAAGTTAGCATGGTACAGTCGACACTGCCGTGGCGTATTTCACGCAGCTGCCTAAGCAGAGCCATGTGCCAAGCACAGAAAAAGATTGATAGCAAAAAAAGGTCATCAGCCAAAATGTCACAAGATTATGTTCTGCTACCAATTGGTACCCTGCAGATTTCTGGTGAACTCACTAAGCGTCTGCGTGGCAGCTGTGTGAAACCTGGACACACTTGGCCACACTCGCCAGCCATGTATAGTGTAATGTCCAGAACGGAGTATGGCCAGTGTGGTTTGATGACTGGGCATTAGTTCTGGAAACACAAATTAGGCCACACACAGCTGTGTGTTACTACATCAAAGAGTCCGAGTTTTTTTTCCTACTGTCCACCGGGGTCAGAAACATCTTCTCTTCCTTTTGTATGTCTGTCCTCCACCGTCAACTAAAACACAAACACAGCTCGTGAGCCACTTGGACTCTGAACCTGCTTCGAATTGGACAAGCAATGTGTATCCCCGAGCTTGTAAACTGTACTAATGTTATTCAAAACGTAACATGATACTCACGCCTGTAAAAGGTTTCGTCGTAATCTTGAATCTTTTTAAAGTGTCTGACGGCAAATGTTAAGGTTTCTAAGCGTACAACAGTTGCTTTGATATACTTTTCGTTACTTCTAACTGCTGAGATCTACATGCATTCCAAGATGCTAATGACTAGGCTGCTGCCATTTGTTGCTAGAGCAATGATGCGGCATTCTGGGGGTAGCAAGTTCCGCTCCCACCTCAGTCCATCTTTCTGTGTTAATGTCTGCCAAGGATACGGTGTGACATTACAGCCTGGGATTCTTTGGTTGACAAAATCAGCCGCAACATTTGCCTTGGGTTTCCCGACGTCCTTCAACCTGTTTTTCAGAGAAGAAAATGCCGGAATAGATAAAGAAAAAGAACAAAAGAAGGCACGGATTTTCGATGTCCTGTTTGTTGGTTTTAGCAACAAGTAACAAGTTAAAGGCTTTTCCAATCTGGTAACACAGTTTAGGTACAGACCTTTTAAAAAGATATTAAATACATACTGTATACAAATTTGGTACAACCTTTCCACTGAGAAAAAAAAAATGAAAAGTTAGCCTCATTGAGGAAACGATTTTGGCCTAACGAACGGTAAACTGAAAAACGGCTAACTGAAGTTTCACACAATCAAGAAATTTTGATAAAAAGTTTGCAGACCACTTCTGAACAATTACCAAGCGTTTTCCTCAAGCGTCAGAGTAAGTATCATTTGAAAGTTCAAAGTATCCTTTCAAAATGAACCACGGTGAACTTACTATACCCTAGATCAGTTGGCACTCGTTCAAAGACTTGGTTATTTTTAAGATCAGGGTAAGCTCTGATAAAAAAATAAAAGAAATCAAGATATTATTGGTGATTGTAACAGAAGTAGGGTTCATGTGAATCAAAGGAAGATATCACCTGTTAGGTATAATCTCCTCTTTAAAACATCATCTTGATCATGTCAATACTTTCATGATTGACTGTGCAGTGACCACTTTTATGAAAGAGTCCATTTAGGGAATTGTGCCACTTCTCGTTTGTGGTCAAATTTGTCAAAACGCGAGAGGCTAAGTCAAAGATAGGTTTGAGCTGGTTCCTCAGGCCGGTACTGGCAGCATTGTGCCAAATCATTGCCTTGGCTAGAGGTGGACGTTCTGGACAGTTTTTAGCAAAAGCATCTGTCAATTCCGCAAGGATCCCACTCTGTGACCACTTAAAGCAACAACACACGCATTGCTTCTGTAATTTGCATTCAAGTGTTTTAAGAAATAGCAAGCCTCTCCCTAACCGATTCTTAAGTTACTTCAAAATTCTCTTGACCCACCTGTTAAATTTACTGCAAGTCTCATCTCACCCACCTGTTAACTTCACTGTAAGGTTTTCCTCACCCACTGGTTAGTTTGAGAGAGTGATGTTAAGGTTAAGGCCACAGAATGCCATTGAAGAATGTGGCATAATTCCTTAAATGGACCCTTTCATAAAATCGGTCACTGCTCCGTTAACTGTGAACGTGTCGATATAATCAAGGTGTCATTTTAAAGAGGAGATTAGTACCTAACAGATGATCCCTCCCTTAGATTCACATGAGCCCTACTTCTGTTGCAATCAGCAATAATATCTTGATTTTCTTTTTTCGATCCACATTGTATACCACATGGTCTGATTCTCTTCTTTGAAGTCTGAAGTCTCACCTAAACAGAAACTGTCTGTTGAGATTAGATAGATCAACGGTGTCCATGTCGATGACATCAATTTGCCGGAATCCCATCAGAGCCTATGGAAAAAGACAAGCAGGAACAAGGACACCAGACTTAACATGGGAATATCTTGAATAGGTCATTGGTACGGTAACCGCTGGATATCATTGGCATTTGTGCACAAAAGAAAAAGTACAAATGGCATCAAATTTAAAGGTTAACACATTCGTGATAACTAATGACCAATGCATACATCAATTTAATTGATCTTTACTTTTACGGGGTAGTTTTGAAATTTGAAATGCCGAGTAAAATACAAAAACTACAGTCTTTAAACCTTAAGTTGTAAAAATAACCTCAAGATATTTACCAAATCTTTCAGAATCTCACAGCCAAGTCCTCCAGCTCCAACCACAAGTATCCTACAGCTGTTCAGCATGAAGTCCAGAATCTTGGGAAATTTGGTAAAACAGAAAGAGAGAAATAAAATTCAAGGTTCTGATGAAAACTAAAATTTGCATTTTGAGTTCTACGGTGGAAAACCTCATTATCGCCAACCAGGCATGGGTGTGAGTACAGGAATTGTGACAAAAATAAACAAAAAAATGAAGCTCTTTTTACCGAAGGTCAGATTAAGGTTTTCTCCATATGGCCCAATCTATCAAACCAGGTTTGAAAATTCTCTGTTTACATTACAACCCTCCCAGATCCTTCAAAATCCATGAATTGCATATACCATTGTTTTTCGTACACATTTGGATGGTACAGTCCTGTTTCTAGCAAATAAGTGTATACAATTTGGGGTAATGGTACTAAGTGTGTAATCTGCCTTGAGCAGAAGCACCCCCTCATTGGTTGGGAAGCGCCACACTGGTCAGGAGTGTTCAACTTGTTGGTAGTGATGCGACTGTGACACGTGCATTTCCTACTCCTAGTCGTTCATGAACCAGTGAAGTTCGGTTCTGACCAATGGAGCCTCCGTTGCAAAGAAAATAGCACCCTCTCTCGGTCCCGCTCAATGCCCATAATCATCACACACCATTTCATGGGAATAATGATCAAGCAGGCAAGATGCAATACCTCTGGACTTGGTTCAAAGTCAGGGTGTGCAAACGGGCCACTCCTCTCCAACAGTTTGCGGACATGGTTCCACCTGCCAAACAAATCAGGCTCAGCCCTGCCAGTTTCCATCGCAACCCTATAACAGAACAGAGTAAGCTATTGTAAATTAAGAAGGCAGAAAACCAACAGGAGATGAAAAGATTATCAACTACAAAATGAAAACATACCCACAAAAAAAAAAGCAAAACAAGAAACATCGTCAACCTCCAGAACCATCTCTAAACCATTTTGGAGAAAAAACCTTAAGCCTCGATCAACTTGGACCAAGTTGAATTTCTGTGACTACTTCACAGAAAATTGATTTTTAAGAGCCGAGGCTTGGTATACAATTTCATAACCCACACAAGACTCTTCTCTTGTTGAAAAATTTTTGCAACGACGATCTTTGGAAGGGTGGGGGGGGGGGAGAGGGAGACGAACGAAGGGGGACCGAGAGTGCTGCACAGCTTCATGTAGAGGGTTCCTCATCCCACCTCTCTCAAAGAGGAGTCCCATTTTGCAATGGGAAGCAGCGGCAGCAGAACGATTTTCAAAGGGGGGGAGGCAGGGACAGTTGTGAGACCATCAGGTATCATCCAATAATACGCGGATCAATTGATCCCGCCCCATTATAGGACCTGCAATAAGTGAAGGGGCCAGGTCCCCTCGGTCACCAGTGATGAGGAGGGGCAATGTTGGTCAACCAACAGGGCAAGTCTGTTGGGGGCAACTTTATCACGGGGTGGATGGTGTTTGCGAAGGAGGCAGGGAGAGGGAGGCTGACCAGCATTCTTGGTTTGTCATGTTGATGACCTAGGGCGTGATTAGTTACTCTGCACGGTAAGCTGATTGTGCCCAAGCTGCTTTTTTGAGGTTGTAAGCCTAGGAATTTTTTAGAATTAGACACTAGTTGCTGTAAGCTGTATTTTAAAAAATGGGTTCCAAAAAGTGATATGGTGGAGGGATTGACAGATTGTACCATGAGATCGATAGCGTAGCGATCCACCAATCACACAGATTGACCTTTCATGCCCAATCTTAACATGATCGTGATTGAAGGCTACCTCCCTCATTCACCGTCTACCCCTCCCCCTTCCAGACAGGAGCCCTGGAGTATTTGTCCAGGTCCACCACGTTCCCCATGACGTTAGACCTACTCTACAAAAAAATGCTCCATTAACTGTTCAGTAACAAATTGAATGACAAAACCTGATCATTGAAACTGTATGTAAGAAACTTGTAACACCGTGAGAAATAAGAATGAACTTTACGATTCTTCTTGATCAGCCATTTCCCGATGGCACCGGTAGTGTTTGTTATCCTGCAGTACTTCTGAAACGCCACAGGTCGATGGTCGACTGCCCTTCTTCACTAAAAAGGATCCGAACAAAGACGAGCATCAAGCCACACGAGGTAAATCGTGTCGCGATCGAAATTAGACTTGCATAAGTTTAGTGAGTGTAATACTTGGTTTTTTTATTCACGTATAAGGGAATAATCGCGTGCTTAAATTGGCCGGTCTTAAAATGTGCGAACGAGATCCAGTAGCAAAGGAGCCCCTTTTTAATCAGAGAAGGGAGATGTTTGGGTCCCTTTCGTTTTCCGTCCTTCATAAAGCGCGCGATGAAAAAGCCCCCCAAATAGGCCTATAGTAACCTCTTAGAAAGGCTTGGGTTTTGGCCCCTCCCCCCCAAAAAAGAAGCTTGCTCTTCCCCAAAAGTTTGGTTCTAGATTCACCACTGAAATTGCCTTTCTCCCTTGGCTTTGCTCGAAAAGGTAGCTGCAAAGCTTTACAACCTGTTGGCCTACAAGTTTACACTTTTGATGCTCTATTTACATTATGTCAGTGACAGACATAGAGAATTACCCTTTGGACCAAAAAGTGCCAGAATTTCTCTTTTTTGTGTGCTTAGACGGACGTGCCATGCAAATGTCAAACCACCATATCCAAAGACAGGGTTGTGAGAAGCAGCGGGAAATCCTCCAAAATAATGACGCAGTTACCGATGACGTAGCCGACCGGCTCTGTAAAAAGTCGATCAGAGAAATATGGAAGGGCAGCGTAGCACCGTGATCAGAATATCGACAAGAATATAATATCAAATCAGTGCTCTGAAATATGTGATTGCCGAGCTTTCGGTAATTGAGTACCTTCTTCAGGGCTGAAGCCTTTGGAAAATGTTTATAATTTCATCTGAGGTCAAACGACAGTGTTTTCCTGGCTCTGTGATACGTCAACTTTGTAAAGCCGCCAAGGCAAACACATTTACAAAATAGTCATCGTCGTAAAAAAGCTGATATATTAAACTGACCGGTCTTAAACTGTCTGTTTTCATCCAGTTATTTTTTAATACAGCGAGTGCATATGCCTCGTTGTCGTCAACCCTTTCAAAGTATTCCCACTAGGACCGCTTTCAACAAAATAATTAGCAAACCCGGTTGAGAGATTGAATCCTTTATAGTCGATTTGCGGTGAGTTCGTTCTGTACTTTCGTTGTTAGGTGAATTGAAGTGGCCTGGTTGAAGCACAGTTTCAACCAGGTTATTCCAAATGCAACGAGCACACATACCATGTAATCGTCGTCAAACTCACCATCTTCGAGAAATGGTAGTATCGTTCCATCGTCTTTTCGTCGACCAAGTGACAACAGTTGTAAAATAAAAAAATTGAAAACAGAACGCTGTTTGTAACTACCGAAACGACGCTCTTTCGTTTTTGCCGATAAAAGAAATTAATAGAAGTTGTTTGCATCATCGGTCGATTGATTGAACTCCATTATCGTCGATAAACAGCGCATTTGCAAAACTCTGCAAAAAGAGGGCATTGCACCGTGTCATCTTCGAAAAATGCGACATCGTTGCATTATTATCTCGTCAATTGAGTGACAAAATTGTAATCCAAAGAAATTAAAGCAGACTATTACGATCAGAAAAATCCCAAACTATCTAAAAATGGTTATTATTTTAATGCTTGGGTTTTCGCCGATGCAAAAGAAATTAAACAAGATCACACCGATATTGGAACAAATAACAGTTACGATGTATGATGAGAATGTTACACTTAGCTTGTCAAAATAAGGATAACAAAGAAAAGGTTGATCGGAACTGGTTTACGGCGATAAGGGTAAAGAATCTAGAAAAGATCTTATTCAAACAAGGTCTTACGGGCGAGAGCTTGGCAGTAGAGAATGCTGCAACTTTTCTCATCATTCTGTGGTTTAGCATTTTTTTAGCAAACAGCTCAGACCCGCGTGTGCGTTAAAGGGGGGAGGGTACTTGTGTTTTTTGTGCAAGTTACGCTGATTCTCTGTCAAAATTATTACGAAAACACAATGCAAGTCTCCTGTGAAAGTGTGTTGTTCCATACAGAGTCTACTTGTCGAGAAAACAGTAAAAACGGTCGCGGTGGCGGTGTTTTTGAAAAAGGGGTACAAACTGCATACTGGTTGTGATTCTAAAAAAATTGCCACCTGGAAACCGTTGGAGATTTTAATTTTTTGACATACTGTACTTTCATGGATTTATAATACACGGGGTATTTCAGAAGAAATAATTTTGCAGGCTAGTTGCTATTATTATCAACTTCATATCAATTAAGCTTTTGGATTGAAAAGCCACAAATTCTCTTCAGGGAAATTACAGCGGGAGGAGGATTCACACTAGTACCATAAAGATCTGAGAGAGAGGAGTCAAGATGTCCCAAGGAAATTAAAACCATAAGGATCTGAGAGAGAGGAGTCAAGATGTCACAAGGAAATTAAAACCATAAGGATCTGAGAGAAGGGAGTCAAAATGTCCCAAGGAAATGAAAACCAGAGGTCAAAAGGACCCAAGCGATGAACTAGTCGGAAATACGCATTTGATGCAACCGTTCATTTTGAAAACTATCAAAAATAACCCGCCCCATTTGCACATTCTGTTCAGAGGAAAACGAGGTCATGACCCCGTATTCAGAAGGAATATTTTTCATGTTAAGGGGGATTCGGCTGTAAAGGTGACACGCCTGATGTCGACAGCTTCCTCCGGCCTTGGTCTGGTGTCTACCTCGGTCATAAACTTTCGCCAGCATCTGCGAACATACCCAGCTGTTCAACTATTCCTTGGTCTGCCTCTTCGGCTCCCCCAGATGCCTTGTAAACAGGGGTGTCACAATCCACGGGGTACTGGAGAATACATTCTTGCACTTTCTGACCCGGGGATGGGCTACTAAATCATCCCTGCACACTTCATTCGCAGTGAGAAAAACAGTAAGGCGGATTTTGCAGAATTTGTCGGCCTTCCCGGAAACCAAAATTGCTTCTTAAACGCTGAAAAGGGGAGATCGATAAGGGGGGGGGATATAAATATATAATAATAAATAAGTAGAGAATATTTTTTCATTATGTAAAAGCGGTAAAATCGGACAAACTGACAAACACTGAATTAAATTCACCAGTTTCCAGCTCTTGGAAAAATACGGCCTATGCTGCTCCGGTCGATTTGATCCGTAAGAGCGTCATCGGAAGGGTGTATTCCACCAAATGGTTGTATTTCTGCGCGCGAGCTCATTAATATTCTGTAATCCCACGGGATTTTTACAATAAGACAGGCCATAACCAGGAGTCATCACAGAAATATTTCTATCAATCCCGAATTTAGGACTGATAATTTCTAGGTCGGGATATTTCTTTCACTAAAAGCCCAAATTGCGGACCTATTTTGGATAGAGGCGAGCGGCTAAAATCAGAAATGAGCGCTTAGTTTTATTGCTATTTTGGGGATATCTTCATTCAAAAGCGAATAAAAAATATTTTCGTGGCTAACCCCCATGAAATTGAAACGAAAAGTGATCTTCTGGCCATGATCTTGAATTTCCAGTGAAAAAACGGAGGCCAACCTCTTCACGAGAGAGGCGCTATTTCAGTCCGATTTTGCACTGTTTTCCATGGGCGCGTATTTGGTGTGGTGAAACCTGAAGGTGCAAGTCTGATTTTTTATTTAACAGCGCCCTCCTGCGGCATGGGACTCCTTTTTCTTCGGATCCTTCTACGTGGAGGACGATCGACCGGCACCCAGGTCCCTATCGAATGCACGGACGGAAGTACGTCCTTGATCGAATATTGAATGCGAGTTTCAATAGTCTGCTACCTCAGCTCGTCGTGTCGCTGCTTTGGGAAAGTATGAGTAAGCTTTCAGGTACCAAGCAGATTGATCCATTCATCTTCCCATTAGTTAAGAGTAGAGCGCCCTCAGCGGTCATTAGGTTTTTTTTCTTACAGCGACCATTGTGAGCTATGATGGGGGAAAATTTGCTCATTTGAAGATGCGTCGTACTGTAATAGGTATGTGAATGGGTTGAGAGTGAGATAAAGTGTATGTTAACTTCGACATATCTGTTCTTCTTTTAAATCATGTGAACAATTCACGTAGGGCCTAGCTTGTGTATTTATTTTGCACAGGTTGTGTGCACACATACTATGACATAGGCCGGCCAACAGGCTATCTGCTTGGCTAGTCGGACAGTACACACACGACATGACAGCGACACAAATAGCATTCACAGTCTAAGTTTGAAATGGCATATCACTGCAGTGACAGTTCAGTTGTATCAGTCGAAGGAATTTTATCAACTATGACCTTGCTGGAATCTCCTGCAGGCCTATAACTCTGCCTCAGGCTTTGAGCTGAGGTAGACCTGTGGCCATGGCAGCGCAGATCATGATATAGGGCCTAGCTTGTCGAGGGCCCCCAGAACTGTGGAGTCCGACGTCCGCTCCGCTACGAGGGAGTGGAATGGATGTTGGTCACCACAGTTTTGTGGGTAGGGTCTAAGGATTTTTATTTAACCATGGTTTAATAAACCTTTTCAACGTTCACAATTTATCATGGGTTTGGATGACAAACAATGCATTTTATGCACAACCCTATGGGAGAAGCTGAACTAGTCAGAAATCAATTTACAGTTCTCTACAACATCTTTTTATATATCTGCTCATCAACTCACAGATGCATGCGTATTATCAAATTATACATGAAAAATTTTCAAATAAGTTTTCAAATGTTTGTAAGAAGAAAAAGTCGCCCTGAATCGTTTTTTTAAGGGCACCCGTCACTCTACTGGCTGAAATGAACCTGACTGGTCAATACGAGTTGAATGAGTTACAAGTTGTGATTTTGACTAGAGCTCAGTTAAATATTCACAGTCTTAGTCAAAGCATGGTCCATGACAAAAACTGGTGGTGTTGGAAGGGATTCTCCGAATTTTCCTTTCTGCCAAGCTTTAAACTTCAAAGTTTGTGAATATCTTCGTCCCAAATCAATAATGCAACACTGTGTCAGAAGGGGTGGCTTGAATTGGAGTGTGAAATAAAATGGAAACGGATTAATGTTTTGCATGTACACTTCTCCCATAGGGTTGTGCATACAGTGCACTGCATGTTTGTCCTCCAAACCCATAATGCATTGCGAACATTGAAAAAGTTTATTGTTCCCAATAACGGCAATATGTCTGCCTGCCGTAGTAGGCAGGAACAATTGAAAAGGAAATTGAAAACTAAGGGTAGGGCCTAGTTAAAATAAGAGATCAGTTTAGCTTACAAGATCACTAATGTTAGGCCCTATTGGGTGGTCTGCGTGGCCGTTCAGTCACGTCAATCTTTGTGCGGTCTGCCCATGATATGGCACGAATTGCTGCTATTCCCCCAACTGCCAACTGGTCTTTTCTTTTTAATTTGCGGTTGTGCAAAATTTTGTTGTAAAAGGGAAGTAGGCCTAAAGCCGGAGATTTCATTTGGGATTTACCGATGGTGGAACACTACGACCNTGGAATTAGTGGACTGCACCCATTAGTTAAGAGAAGAGCGCCCTCAGCGGTCAATAGGTTTTTTTTTTCTTACAGCGCCCATTGTGAGCTACGATGGGGGAAAATTTGCTCATTTGAAGATGCGTCGTACCGTAATAGGTATGTGAATGGGTTGAGAGTGAGATAAAGTGTATATTAACTTCGACGTATCTGTTCTTCTTTTAAATCGTGTGAACAATTCACGTAGGGCCTAGCTTGTGTATTTATTTTGCACAGGTTGTGTGCACACATACTATGACATAGGCCGGCCAAGGCTAGTCGGACAGTACACACACGACAGCGACACAAATCGCAAGTTTGAAATGGCATATCACTGCAGTGACAGTTCACTTGTATCAGTCGAAGGAATTTTATTAACTATGACCTTGCTGGAATCTCCTGCAGGCCTATAACTCTGCCTCAGGCTTTGAGCTGAGGTAGACCTGTGGCCATGGCAGTGCAGATCATATAGGGTCTAGCTTGTCTAGGGCCCCCAGAACTGTGGAGTCCGACGTCCGCTCCACTACGAGGGAGTGGAGTGGACGTTGGTCACCACAGTTCTGTGGGTAGGGTCTAAGGATTTTTATTTAACCATGGTTTAATAAACCTTTTCAACGTTCACAATTTATCATGGGTTTGGATGACAAACAATGCATTTTATGCACAACCCTATGGGAGAAGCTGAACCAGTCAGAAATCAATTTACAGTTTTCTACAACATGTTTTTATGTATCTGCTCATCAACTCACAGATGCATGCGTATTATCAAATTATACGAGAAAAGTTTTCAAGTAAGTTTTCAAATGTTTGTAAGAAGAAAAAAATCGCCCTTAATTGTTTTTTTTTAAGGGCACCCGCCACTCTACTGGCTGAAATGAACGTGACTGGTCAGTATGGGTAGAATGAGCTACAAGTTGTGATTTTGACTAGAGCTCACTTTAATATTCACAATCTTAGTCAAAGCATGGTCCATGACAAAAACTGGTGGTGTTGGAAGGGATTCTCCGAATTTTCCCTTCTGCCAAGCTTTAAACTTCAAAGTTTGTGAATATCTTCGTCCCAAATCAATAATGCAATACTTTGTCAGAATGGGGTGGCTTGAAATTAAATGGAAACGGATTAATGTTTTGCATGTACACTTCTCCCATAGGGTTGTGCATACAATGCACTGCATGTTTGTCATCCAAACCCGTAATGCATTGTGAACATTGGAAAAGTTTATTGTTCCCAATAACGGCAATATGTCTGCCTGCCGTAGTAGGCAGGAACAATTAAAAAGGAAATTGAAAACTAAGGGTAGGGCCTAGTTAAAATAAGAGATCAGTTTACCTTACAAGCTCACTAATGTTAGGCCCTATTGGGTGGTCTGCGTGGCCGTTCAGTCACGTCAATCTTTGTGCGGTCTGCCCATGATATGGCACGAATTGCTGCTATTCCCCCAACTGCCAACTGGTCTTTTCTTTCTAATTTGCGGTTGTGCAAAATTGTGTTGTAAAAGGGAAGTAGGCCTAAAGCCGGAGATTTCATTTGGGATTAACCGATGGTGGAACACTACGACTNGCTGGTATTATAATGTTACTGACGTCTCTCCCTGTTCACTCTGTCGTCTCAAGAACCGTTGGCTGAGCCTGTAGACTGAACCAGTTTGCCATGGTGGAAGAGTACTGCCGCAGCCTGCTGAAAGTGGCTGTAGCCCAGCTGTGTCAGGGGCTTGGCTGGCATGCCATACACACCACACCCTGTGACCTCTTGACTGATGTGCTGCAGAGGTATCTAGAGCACTTGGCTCGACACTCCCATCGCTACGCTGAGCAGTGTAAGGAATATAATGCTTTATCTTAAAATTGACCTCTAACGCAAGTTAGCGGCCTTTTTTTGGTCAAACGTTGAACTGAACTTTCCAGGTTGTTTGATTTAAATCGAATGATTTCAATCATTGATTTAAATCAGGAGTTAAATCGCTTAGAAAATAAAAATCATTTGAAAAAAATCATTCAAAAATCAGAACGTAGTATTTCCAAATACCAGTATCATGGAAAGCAGTTTTGCCAAATATCACGAAAATTGGAACACCAAAGGGGTGTACTTATTCAGTAAAGTCTCTTGAAATGTTACATAAGGCATGCCATGTGTTAGGAAGTATGGTGCACAGGAGTGTTATCCCAATTGTCTTGTTTTATCATTAAAATTTTATTTCAGCAGTGTATTCATACCAAGAGTTTGCATGTATTTCAGCATACAGGTAACTGGGTGTAGCAAACTTTGGTGTTGGATTAGGAGTGTAACAGTTTAACATTATGGTAAACTTAACCCCAGCAGTCAGCAGTGGGTCCTTTAACCCTAACACTCCTCAGTCCTCCAACAGGTGAAGGATTGAGGAGGGTTAGGGTTAATCATCGCATGGTATTTTTATTTCAGGATCAAGGGCCTCCTGGACAACTTATACAAAGATTGATTAAGAAAAATTGATTTAAATTTAAAAGATCCGATTAAAATGTTAAAAATTTGGTTTTGTTAATTTTTAATTATTTTAAATCATGATTTTCATCAACCCTGTGAACTTTTAATGCATTGAAGAATTCATGCGAAACATGCCAAATTCTACAAGGTTCTGTGTGATTTACGCTAAACCTGGAAGGTTAGCCTACACTCAAGTAATGTTTGAAATTTTTGGCACCTCTCAAATCATGGAACAACAAACTTTGTTGCTTAATCTGAGAGAGCCCCAAAATTGTGCACCGACATTGCTATTAATTAGCCTTTACTGTCAAAGTTGTGTTCGCTAGGAACCCTGTTGATCATGAAATATGGTTTGAGAGATATCAAAGGTGGCTCATTGATAACAAGATCTTTTAAGTCAACTGTTTCCAAAGCCAAACTACCGACCAGCCTGCCAACCAGTGCTGGATCCAAAAGTGGCACTGTTGAATTAAGCTGCCGCCCTTTCAGAATTGGCAGTCACACTACTGCCATTGACATCCTGGTCTAACAAGATCTTACAGCTTTTATACCTGCTGTACTTTGTTCATGCTAACCTCATGTACCAAGTGCGGACCCTTGAACAAAAGAGGTCCACATAATGCAGGTTTGGCGAACCTGGTATGGACTTTGGTAGTTCTACACCGGGTTACCCCTGTCTAGAAAACAGTTTCAGAAGAATTTTATGCTAAGGAGTATCTGTAACAAAGGAATGGGAAAAAATCCAGTCTAAAAGAGCGTTCGCAACGCAAGAAAAATGAGTATTGTCACCAACTTTCTGAAGTACTTGAAAACAAAGGAATGCCCACACTATTTACGTAGCGTAATCATGTGTGTCTGATCATGTGTTAGGACCAGGTTTCTAAACGTCTTCTGTTGAGTGAGTGGTCAGTCACTTTGGATTGTTTTTGTTTCTCAACAGATGGGCGCACCGACCCCAATCTGGATGATGTCGGCTTGGCCTTCTCCCACATGCAAGTCCGCCTCAACGAGCTGGAGACCTACCTCAAGGAGGTGGAGCCCATCCCGTTTGCCCACCCACTCCCGACCTTCCCCGTTCCCAAGAAGAACAACCTGCAGATCCCGCAACCCGGGAGCCGAGATTGTCGCGAGAGGCTGGAGTACATTCCTGAGCACATGCCGCCCCTGGTGGACATCGCAGGAGGTTGGTGTCAACTTTTTTGATAACATTAAAAGTCATTTTATCAACCTATGCTGGCTTTCTCACAGATTTCCACCCTAACGGGTCTCAAATCTTCCAAGGAATCAGTTGACACAAAAATATGATTCCATAAGATAGTAAGAGGGACGTCACTTGAACATTCTCTTATCTGATCTGACTGTACTCACCCCCACACTGACAAAGAAGAGAGAGGTTGTCGGGTACGAACTTTTGCACACATGTATGTAGAAACATCTCTTGTTAGTGTGCAGAACAGATCACTTGACCTGGCAATTTGGCATAGAGACCCTCAGTAGTTTTTATTGAAGGCATCAGTTTTTGTTGGCAAGGACTAACCAGCGGGCTTTGCATGGCAGGATTTGTTTATGTTCTGCTCTTTGTCTCTTGTACTTTTTAGAAGCCTGTGACTCGGGCTACTTTGAATTTGTCATTTCTGTCAGGGAAGTGTTCAGGAGTAGCACCTTCAATGAAACTGAAGTTTTGAAATAATTTCCAATGCTGCGAGAGTTTCATTTGTAGGGGTAATTTTGGAATTGGTTATTTTGTTACTTTCAACCAGAGTTTGGTGAGGGGCTCGATGCAATGGACGTCTCGCATTCTTCCCGGGCTTCTCTTGATGGCGACAGCTACGAGCCCCACACTCCCCTCTTGAGCCCCACGTCTCCTCGCGGTGAAAAGCGTGAACTGTTAAGCCCCTCCACGGACTATTTTGCATTCAAGAGGCTCCGAATGATGGAGGACGGCAACCCCCGGGAGCTGACGGCCCTGTCGATGGGTGTCAATGGCGAGATCACTCCTAAGCGGGAGGGTCGGCTACCTGTTGCCACCACACCGCCCCAGAAGCAGCTGTTGGAGAGACGGGGCAGTGTAACCACCGTTCCCCTCTCGAGGACGGATTCCAAGCCCGACGGGCTGCTTACCAAAGTTCCCAAGTCGCCTTCATCCAGCCTGGGCACAGACACCAAAGTCTCCAAGGGCAAAGGGATCACCCCACCCAAGCCCAAGCCCAAATCCCCCAAGCACCTGTTCTTCTCACCGGGGGGCACCCCCTCGGTGTTTCAGGTGAAGCCCAAGAGCCCGGCGGTGGTCATCATGGACAAAGTCAAAGAGTTGATGCCCTCGGGTAGCAAGAACATCAAGGTTGTGGGACCAAATATTGGGACATTGCTAATTACCACAAAGAAGAATGTGGAGACTCCTGCTCTCCCTGCTGGCAAGAACAGTGATGACAATGACAAGAGTCCTAGCCCAAAGAAGCCATCCGCTTTGGATGTTTATGACTTTGAGGACGAGGACACTAAGCCCAGACCCTCCAAGACCTTTGACCCTTGTGGGGAGTTGCCAGACCCTTCCAAAGCTGTATTGCCCTCGGCGACTTTGATAAGGGACGAGGAGGAGGAAGTGTTGGCTAGTGCGGCCAGCATCGAGGACACGATTGAGTCGGTTATCTCCAAGATGGCCCGGGGTGGTGTCTCTAGCAAATCCAGCAAGAAGAACGGCAAAGATGGTGACAGAGAGAGAGCCAAGGAAAAGGGAAAGGATAAAAGCAAGGACCGAGGCAAAGACAAGAGCGTCGAGAAGGGTAAGGGGGGACTCCTGGACATGGCCAACAAGAGTAACCAGGAGAAGTCCAGCGGCAAGGGACACTCCCTGCCACCAAAGCTGCTGTTCAAAAATGCCTGGCGGGAGAGCGAGGGGGCCATCACGTCCGCCATCAAGGTGGGGACGTCGCCCGGACTTGCCCCGAAACTCCTCATCAAAACGGCCGACCCCAAGGACAAGAGCAAGGACAAGAAGGACCACAAGCTGAAGAAGTCGGGCGATGAGAAGTCCTCCTCGGGCAAGGAGTCCAAGAAGGAGCGGTCCAAGCGGAAGAAGGAGCAGCTGAAGAAGGAGAAGCTGAAGAAGAAGAAATTAGAGAAGAAGCGGCGGATGCGGGAGCTGGCCTCCAAGGCGGCCAGCTCGTCCAGCGGGGAGGCCCAGGCGGACCCCCTGAAGCAGCCCACCATCGCCAAGCTGAACATCATCACCACCAATCCCAAGTCGTTAAAGGTCCGAGTGGTCTCCCAGTCGGACAGCCCCGCCAGCAGTCCGGGCCGAGACAAGTCCAGCGGGAAGCTGCAGAAGGACAAGGCTTGCCTGAAGAAGAAGAGGAAGGAGAAGGAACGCAAGGCAAAGATCAAGGCGGCCAAGGACTCCCTCAAGAAGGCAAAGCAGAAGGAAGGAACCAAGAATCCAAAAAAGAAGGAAGAGGGAGCTCAAAACCCCTCAGAGGAACCACCCGAAAAAGTGGCCAAGGTGAACACTTGTCTCAGTGTGTGATTTTTACGCCATTAGCTAATTGATTTTACAAGAAGATGCGCTGTTTGTCTAGGGAATAGCTCTTGTTTTTCATGTTATTGCTTACCATATCATTATGTATGAAATCAGCCTACTTTAACCACTTCATGCCGGGGCATTTTTCAATGTCGATGATGCTGGGTCGGCATGACTATCATTTTTTCCGTTTTCAAAATCCTTCAAAAAGTCATCATTTCATTTAACGGTCATTTATAGCCACACGAAGTAATCTTTAGGCACTACTCTAAGTTGACAGGTGACCTTCATTGACGCCCGAGTATTTCAGCTAGGCCTGCAGCCTTGTAAAAAGAGCCCAGATCGTGCGTTGTTATGTAACTTTCTTTTGTTCACGAACCTGGTGGTAATCTGCTCGCTCTCAATGCCCCAAACCCTGGTATACGGTTTCAACACAAGGCTGGATTATCACCACTTTTGAGAGTGAAAAATGTTGGTAATGCCCAGCAGCCTGATCTTTTGTTTGGAGTACGGTCTTTTGTTACAGGGCCCTGTTTCCTTTGTCCGAGTTCGGAGACCCCGGCCACGCATATAAACCAAACATCTCCGATTACGGAGTCCCCGGCAGGAAGTGGTTAAACTGCATTTAGTTCCCTGTCTTCACAGTACCACAAATATGATTCTGATCAGTGGCACTCAGAATTTTGTTACTATTGAAGTTGGAGGTGTGTAAATCAGATCTATGTCCTTTATTCAGTGGGCACATAAACCAATGCATTGGTCATTTCGGTAGCAACTCATAAGAATCCCCCCCAGGCTAACAATGTGCAGAATGCCAGGGGTATATTCTTTGTACATGTATCAAACAGAAGACGCTTACGATGCTCCATGGAAAGAAACACTGGCCGGGGAGTAGTTCAGAACCAGTCACGATACTCCAATAACCCATGGGGCCCAACTGAAGAAAATATTGCCTGCCGCGTTTATACACTGAGCAAAAATCAGTATAGAATCAATCTGTAAATCATTTAGACTAGTACCCTTGTTTTTGGTAAGCAGGTCATGTCTGCGCTTAGCACAGCTGTGTGCTTTGCTGCTTTGTTATATCGGTCCCTCGAGTTTCATGTTGATGAACTTAGGGTGGTTGTAGGTTAAAGTTGACTCCATATTGTCACAGAGAACCTCTCACAGACATTTGTTGATGGATTTCTGTTGCCTTCAGTTGACTGTACCCAAACTGATGCTGAAGATTGGATCTGCATCCTCAAGTGGAGAGACTACAAAAATGTGAGTGAGACACACTTCCCCACATTTCCAAACCTTCTGTCGGGGGGCATTTTACATGCTTATGGAAGGAAGGACAATGGAATGGATTAAAGAAAATCACCTTTCTCTTCAGCATTTTTCACAAATTATTTATTTTTATTTGTACTCTTTTTTTGGGGGGGATGGGTTGTCCCGTTAGCCTCCTTGGATCTGCCCTTACTTCAGCTGACCCGATATCTGTTTTGTTGGATGGATGAACGTGTCAGAGGCCTGATGTTACTCTCTTGATCAAAGTGTCTCTAGCATTCATTTTCCACTTTAAAATATCCAGTATTTTGTGAAGGAAACAATGTTGGCTCTAGCTTTTCTTGATTGATTGCTGTTTGTGTCATTGGCTTTTATTTCAGAATCATTAAAAAACAGCCTGAGAAGCCAAAGCCGCCGCCACTGAGAGTCCGCACTCCGTCACCATCCTCTTCATCCTCTTCGTCCTCTCCATCACCTTCCCCTTCACCGCCACCCCGGCGAAAATCCCCATCTCCCTCCCCTCCACCCCGTTCTCCTTCCCCTTCCCCGTGCCCCAGCCCCTCCCCTGTCTCGCCTGTCCCCACTAACCCTCCGCCGAAAAAGACGCCCGCGGCTAAGAAGGCACCTCCTTCCAAGAGGGCTTCGCACCAGAAGAAGGCGCCTGCTGCCTCCCCTCCGGGCTCGCCCCCCTTGGTGCCTGCGAAGCCCCACTCCGTGCCCAAGTCCCCCCCGTCCCCACCCAGGTCGCCCCCACCTCCCAAGGTGGCAGTGACCGTACCCCCAGTCAGGAAGGCAGCTTCCAAGGCCTTCTCTGCCATCGCCAAGCCCACCAAGGTGGCCCAGCCGGTCTCGCCCGGTGCTGCTCAACCCCAGGCACCATTTAAGGTAAATTTCATTCATTCATAAAAACACTTATGAGCTGATGATTTTTGTGCACAAGCTCACAGACTACAGGAAATAACCAAGTATCAAAACTTATCAGTGCTCCTCAAACTTCTTTTTACCCGACTTCGGATCAGGCTGGGTCAGCTTTTCCACCATGTCAGTCTGGTCGGGTTGTTGCATTTATGATTTTCAGGTCAAGTTGGTTTGTTCGAGCAGTCTTGGTAAAACCCCAAAATATATGGAAATAACCTGAAACAGTGTTCAGACATTCCCATAGTGAAAGTTTTCCCACAGTATGAACTTTTATACTCCAACCGGTACTGTAAAAGAGAGACATTGCAACTGTGCTGAGTTCTCATGATGATTTTCCCCAAAGAATTCATGCAGCGCGAATAAGTTCATTTCCCACTTGCTTCTCTCCAGGGTATATCGGTGCCAACAAAAGCATCCCTGAAGGCCCCAGTAGAGAAACCATCCACGTCCAAAGGAAGCAAAGCATCCCAGAAGGCACCAGCCACACCGCCCCCTAGTGGTGGGACTGCACAACGCAGCGTCATCCTCGAGACTGTTGGAACTGTTATGGTCAGTCTGGTGTCTTTAAAAGATTATGCAAAAACTTGGACATCATTAAGTTCCTCAGTGTTCATTATTACGTTTTTAGAATCCAAGAAATTTCACAAAATTTGAATTTTAGTAGTCTTTGTCTGCTGCTTCAATATCCACTGCAACAGTTCCCAGTCTTTATTTGCTGTTAAGGTTTGTCTTCCTCCAAATCCTCCTTGGGGTTTTTTGTAGTCACTGTGCTAAATGCAACAAAAATGCAACATGGCCAAAAGAAAACCCTGCCAAAGGCAACAAAATGTTGCTGTGGATTTGGTTGCATTCAGCAGACCAGACAAACCCAGGCCTGGACACCGTGCATTTACAGTGCTCCCTGCCTCTCATGTTGAATATTAACTTCGACAAAACTCATAACAATGCAACAAAATGGATCGATGGGTCCTGACGTGCAATGAACTCGGTAAACTCCGGCCTTTACCCTCTGCAATGTCGTAATTTCTGATAACTTCTGAAACGAACAGTTGACAACTGTTGGACTGTTGTTGTAGCAGGGTTAAGGTTAAAGGTCTTTGCACCGTTTACTTCTTTTGTGCTGTCATGTAGTTTCACATGATTGGAGGTTAGCGAGTACTGGAAAGTGAACTGCCAGAAGTCTGGATGGTGAGGGTTGAGCCTTTAGAAACAACTTGAAAAAATTAACTAAACTTTGCTTGGTTTGGAAATGAAACTATGAGTATTGCATGCCAATATGGACATCTTTATCAATGTGTCTTCAGAGCGATACAGGAGAGAAGATCTGGATATGTCCCAACTGCAAGCTGCCTGATGACGGCAGCGCAATGATCGGCTGTGATACCTGCGATGACTGGTACCACTGGTGAGTGTAACGGTCCAGCACTGCCTTCTCACATCTTGAAAGGGGGTGTAGATGTTAAAACTTTGTCCTTTGATTTGCATATAATATACGCCAGCTGCTAATTAGTAGACAAGGCGATATGATTTTGCTACTGCAGAAGTACAGTGCTCAGTGTAGAAAGCAAAGATTGTACGGAGTTGAGCCAAAATGCGAAAATGAGGTTGAAATATAATTTTTAATAAAACTGACTCAAGCAAATAGGAGTGCTTGAACCAATTGCCAAATAGGGCCCAGACCTCCAGTTCCCTCAGTTCGCTTGAACAACGTTGATGCTGTTTTTAGACTGGATCCAGACTTGACTGTGCCTCTCCATTCTTTCTGCTTCGTTTTCTCCCCACGCAGGCCATGTGTCGGAATCAAGGAAGAACCCAAGGAGGATAACTGGTACTGTCCACGATGCCGGGTACCCAAGAAGAAGAAAGGCAAAAAGAAATACCGATAGCCAGCGGGACTGTCACAACAGCCTCGTGAACGTGTTGCTCTCAAGTTCTTCTCAATCTTAATCTTCACAGATCCTTCAAACATCATTCAGACGGTTGCTGAAGGATATTTACACATTTTTACACTTGGCTGGACACCTCTAGAAACTTCTTGAAAGGTTCCCCAGGTTAACAGGAAAAGTGCCGAGGGAATTAGGATTAATTAGTGCGACCGTGAGAGTAGGGAACTTTACTTGAACGAGTAGAGGAACAACTTTTTGCAGTTGTCAGGTGCATTTTTGTGAATATGAGTACTAAATCACTGACTGCATGCACTTGTATGAAATCTTTTTTTTTTTGTTGGAATGGTAGCCATTGCCGAAGTGTATCCAAAGGATCATATCTCATTTCTCTTTAGCTATTTCTGTCAAAGATAGGCCATATCACTTGTGACGTACATCGACCGTGCTGGTCATCTGTTGGTTGCTGCAACCACAGTTTCATTATCCTGGAACAAGTCTACTCAAGAACTCCAGTTCACCATGCCATATCACAACTAAGTAGTGCAGTGTTCAAGCCACTGTAGTTGATTGCGAGACGGGTATAGTGAACTATTTTGGACACTCGTTTTGCAGTTGGTCGCTTCGTGGCGTGTACGGCAGGGAGCCAGACCTGTGGAGTTTGGGGTGACCATTGACCCTTTAGGACTAGGGGTCATTGGCACCTATCTAAATGGTGTACAAACTAGCCGCTTATCGACTGGAGGTCCTTTTCAAAGTTTTTTTCATGGATTTTTATTGAAGTTAATTTATGCATTTGCCCACTTCACTTATCAATACTTAACACTGTAACACAAAATCTAACACTGTACCTGACAAACTGGTTAGTCAAGTAAACAGTATTCCCTCCAGCTTTTCAGTAGAGTGCCCTCGTTGGGTCAGGAATGTGGACAGTCACCTTTCTGGAGTGCTTTACTTATAGTGTGTCCCGAGGCCTGATGAGGTACGCATCACGTAGGATTGCACTCAGGTGTGGGGGATAATTTAGAAAATATCCAAACACAGGCCAAGTTGACCATTTGTCAACTGCAGGAGAAGTTTACCAGGCTATGTGTTACATAAAATATATTCTGGGTACCAGGCAAAATCGGCCATTGGGTGCCAAATGATTGCGTATGGAACTTGGCAGCGGCTGCTTTACAATTTACATGTATTTATCTGTGTTGCTGTCAAGGCACTTACGAATGGAACTTGATTACGACATAATTACATAGACACAGAAAGGTACGGCAGACACTACCCCAGAATGCTCGTCACTAATCTTTCTGGTGAACTAGCCTGGTACGGAAGTCTCTTAAATTCTTCCCTGTCTTTTCTTTTTGTAGTCTCAAGGATATGCGCAGTTTCAGTTGAAATCTTGCCGCATACCCACAAGCACTTTTTCAACAATTTGTGCAGTGTTCACTGTCACCTGTTACGCCCAGGCTTCTTTTTCGTGGAATCCGCAACATCCCGTGAAAGGCTTGTACAAAAACATGGACAAGTTTCTCTTACACATTTCAAATATGGGTAATGGATTCAGGTTAGCCTAATTGGATGAGAATCCAGTTGAACTTGTAAAGAGTTTCAGCGGCACCAGCAAAGGAATCCTTGATATGATTTGAAAAAGTTTGGTCCTACCTGATACCTAAGAAATGTTGTTCTGCCAAGCATATTATATATCCAAAGCATTGTTAACATCCCACGTTTTTAAGTTGACAGTTCATCCCTTTCTGACTTCTCATAATGAGACCCAGTCTAACTACAGAACCCACGAAAAGGTGTGAAAAACCCGCTCAGGGCAACAGCACCATTGGAACCGAAAGCAGCACAACGTCACTGTATTAGCCAATGGGTGCTCATAATTAGTGGAGTGTTTTTTTGTATGTGATGCAGTCACTTATGAATTGGATTCAGGGAAATTTTCATCACTCTCTGGATTTTTCTCTGAAATGAATTCAGGAAATGTGGTTGTTAACATTCTTCTCAATGTTTCAAGGATTGAAAACACCTATTGCCCAATGTGGATCAAGTGATGAGCACACAAACTTCACTTGTGGTTGAAAATGTCAAAAATAATTTCCCACTTATTATATAAGTTTGAAGTTTAAAAATGCGAAGTGACACTTTTGTTTACATCATGAATACCAGAAAGACAGCTTTCAAGTTGTGTCAAATGGTTTGCTCCCTCTCTTCTTTTGTAAATACTTTGAATTGTGTACGTATTTTATCAGAATTGTGTCTTGAATGATGATATTTCCTATAACATTCAAATATTTGTGTTTTGAATGCTCAATGAACTGCCTGTCAGTCTCAAATTTTAAAATGCCAGTCAGCTTGTGTCTAATGGTATTGTGAATTGGACTATAAATACCGTTTGCAAAACTGGTGATTTTTTTCAAAGAAACTTTCAGTCTGTGTAATCTTAAATCACTATTGATGGTGAAATGACATCAGAAATAAAAAGCATGATTTGTACAGATCTGTTATGAAGTTTGGAAATCGTAGCTTCCTCCGAGCGCCCGCCCATCAGCACAATAATTTCCAGGTGTTTGTGGTTTTGGGAAAATACTAAGTTTGTTTTGTGGAAGTGTACTAAAACCACATCTCTAGGAAATCTTAATGAGCACCCCATTTTATATTTGCGTTACCATGTACCCATTTTCTTAGTGATTTGCCCTATCCAAACAACTTTTCAAAAAAAAATGGCTGATCCTGTCTGTGGATCTGGAACTACGGATAATTTGTTGATAACCTTCTTTTATTTTCAATTTCTGCATTGAAATACATCAGTGCATGCAAACACGGCCTTAATCGAAATGTGCCCCCGTTTCTGTTTTTCAAAGTTGTACCCATTCATGAGTTAACTAGTAGGAGACAATGCCAGGACCGCGAATCCCCCGCAAATGGAACCTTGTGTAATACATGTACTGTACATGAACTGTACATAGATCGTGTCGGGTGTTGCCTGTGAGATAACCACGCCCCCTTTTTGGATCACGGCAGTAATGGAAAAGAAATCTCGCAGACAAACGTTTTCTGTCTTTTACAGTGCAAGAAGTTTTTTTTTTAAATTATTTTTCCTCTTTGAACAATTAAAAAAAATTCCGAAGGATTAGTGTCTACGATGCTGTACCGTATACCATAACTCATGGAGGAACTTGAGAAGACAGCTTGCGCTCAGCCTCGCCTGAGTCAGTACGGTAAAAAGTTTGCTCATAGAGTAATTTATTTGGATGCGGGGGTGAAGAGATAACCATTCTGGTTATCTTCATAACATATCTGACAATTTTGTCAGGAATATGGCAACTTAGTGTAATGAAATAATTCCGGATAACATAATTTCGATTTTTTTGACTACACGTAAAATTACAAGCGAATAAAGTATGAAAATATTTTTGGTACCAAACCCCCCCCCCCCCCGTTGGTCTACTCTGCCAGAGGCAGAGGCCAAAGGTTGTTTAGATTACATCAGGCATGCATAGTGCGCGAGGTGGCGCTACCGTCACAATCAGGTGCAGGTGCAGACGTGGCCGGCGCGAGCTGGACGGAGGAGGATCGACGCCGTAGTGAACTGTGTGTTTGTGCTCGGTACTCATTGGTGAGTGAAACCACGAAAAATTAACCTGTAGAACTGTTATTACAGGACCTTCATATACGTGTAATTTCTTGTGTCGACAATGTGCAGTGACAAATTGATAACACGTGACAGTCAAACAAATGAGCTGTCTTTGACCGTTTGCACAAACCTAGCCCTGGTTGGACGTTGTCTTCATTTCTTTCACCTAGTGTTGCACCGATCTTGATTTTGATACTTGGCCCAGCCTAAGTACCCCCCAGAACTGTGGCGTCCGACGTCGGAGTGGACGTCGAACGCCACAGGCTCAGCCCAGGCTGGACACCAGTCCTCCTTACAATACATTACGACTCTCCCTCCGTAACGTAGTACGGTCGGGGGGTCCACGTGGGCTAGCCCTTGGCCATGAGTTGGCAGTAAATTCAGAGAGCGATATGGACATCACTTGACACCCTGCACACAAACCCGAAAAGACTCGACTAGTATGAAAAAAAGCGAACAGTAATCTTAGTAAGTTACTGAATATTTTCACTGCTAAATGCTGTCGCTTGATGATGGCTTGTCATGCTTTAAACGACCACTGCAAGGGAAAGTACACGTACGTTAAGTGATGTCCGTACGTACGGAACTTTACTGAAGCCATGGGAGCAGCGTACATGTACATGTTCACTTACAAAGTACAGCACATGTAGAAGCCATGGGTTTCCTCTAGTTTTAGTAGGTAGGATGTTTTAGTAGGTAGGATGCTATATACGTGTAGCCCCACTAGTGTGGCATGTACTCCCACTCCCGTTCCATCCTTAGCCACAGTGGAAAAGTTCGGTGCACCCTCTTATAATTGTAGGTGCAATTATTTTTGCACACACAAAATGATTTTAATAACCTCTCCACTTTCTTCGCACCATTTATTGAATAATCTCGCTCATGTTGTTCTGGTATTTTCCAGTCTTTTTGCCGTCATCCATTCAATCTAACGGGCTCGCTCTCACAGTCGCCATCTTTAAAATAAGGTCGTTGAACATTACGTCACTTGACCCCTCATCGTCTCAACGGCTGTTCCATGTCAAGACATATCTAAACTGCTGCCCAAGTTTTGGAAGAGCCCATAGGTAAATGTTGTATCTTATCGCTCAGTCAACGTATTAGATACGCAAATTGCGTATACGGATGTGTGGCTAAGGATGGAGTGGGAGTGAGAGTCCGTGCCACACTAGTGGGGCTAGATGCTATATAGTTCTGTTCGTTTTAAAATTTGCACATAAGAGTAAGACTGAGAGTAACTAAAAAAATACAGGGCCGCATAAATCAGTATGTTTACGGATTCTGTGGAGGATCTTACAAGTAGTGTTGGAGTTAGAGGAATCGCCATAGATTTCAACCAAAAAACAGTGTTTAGTAGCATAAATAAGCACTGGCACAATCCAAGTGTCTTGAACTCAATTACAAGCTGCCTCTTTTAACATTCGGACATACGGCTATCGCCTGACCATGTCCAAATGTTAAAAGAGGCGATTTGTAGAGTCCAAATGATTTTCCTGAAGTTCCCTGGGATGGTCGTGCTATTTAGAGTCAACAAGCTTCAACACTCACAAGAAGCATTAACGAAGTGTCAACAACTTGAAAATACTTTGTAAAGATGTACATGTAAAAGTAGTTTTATCATATCTGAGAGACAACATCTACCACTGTGTAAGCAAAATAGCTAATTTGCTTCCAGGGTCTTACAGGAAAACACTTTTTGCAATGTATGGGGCCACCGTCTTTCTTTTCTCTGCCGTTGATGTGAAAACAAGATGGCAGCTGGTTGGGTTGCATGAGCAGGCTTGACTGTGTCGCTCAAATTGCCACACTCAGATATCATTGAAGATGGTATTTACAAACAGGTAGGAACTTATTTAATACAACCAGCAAAACCAAAGTCTAAGCCAAATGCACTCGTTTCGAAAGTGTTCCACAATGGATTCCACAATGCACCGTCACGACGCGGCCAAATAGACACAAATTTTTTAGTGCGCATGCTCAGTTGTGGCCAGTGTGTCATCCTCAATGTGACAATGAGTTTTTGCTTTTTCACGTCGTCGTTTGGCCATCACCTCAACGTAGTGGCTCTGTGACGTGAAATCTTAAACTCCCTAATTAGCTGACTACATGTTTCTTGTCACTGCACTGCAGGCAATGAATCAAACAGCTTTCACTGTCCAGTTAGGTTACCGTAGTACTCCTTGCCGCTAGCGCGCAGTCTGCTATGGTTAGTGTGAAAGTTGACTGATTAGCAGCTGAAGGCCCGTTCATGTAAGTATTCTTTCCTGCACAAATTGTGCGATGGAGAAACATGAGTTTTCTTTTAATTTATTTATTCGTCTTGTTGGAAAATGGCATAATTAATCAATAAGCTGGTCTAAGCTGCGTTTGTAGTAAGCACCTCGGCCACGCATCGATGCGCGAGAAAGGAGCATGATGTCATAAGGCGACATCGTGATTAGATAGCTGTGTCTGGCCAGGAGTACGTAACGCACATTCTCACCGGAGGTCACTCCAGTTCTGCCACTCACATTATGAATAATTCAGCGATAGGGCAGCAAGCGTTTAATTCTGTAATGGCCGATTTCATACTATCGAGAGTTGTATACTGTGTATTATAGGCTTATGCTGTGTTTTTGGCACTTCACAGCTAGCTTAGTAATTCAGATTACAAGGCCAGTGATCGCAGAGAGTGCCACTCTTTCGTACTGAATGAATTCACCCGTAAACATGTATGTTTCTGGTTGCATTGCAGCAACTGCAATTTATAAAGAAAAGGGGATAGCAAATGGCTGAAAATGCATCGTGAAGTGTGACGCGAGATACATGTATCGGGAAAATTATTCCCTGACATGTATGTGAGTAAAGTTTTCTCAGTGGCCCACTGTGACAAAGTGGAGCACATCACCGAAGACTTACAGCAGCAAACTATCCGAAAATTCTAGCAAATTTAGTGCAGAAATACAAGCTGCAACACAGGCTCCAGCTCTTGATGACTTCACAATTAAATTGCTCATTGAATATGTCAGCCAAAAAAATAAAAGGGAGTGGAATGCCTTCAAAATGGTACAACAAAAATGGAGAATATCAGGTAAAATGACTTGTGGTAATGAATCACACACTCAGCTTGCAGCAGTATATTAATTTTATGTGCATGTTTGAATGAAAGATACCTGTAGCACTGAAGAAATGCCTGATGGAATAGTTTCACAGGTGTTGAAACTTTCATTTTTTAAGTTTTTAAATTTGTTTCCATTCAACTGAGTTACATCTTTCATACATGTATGAACCCAGTCATTATGTAACCCACCATCAGTTCCCATTAATAAAAATTAATCACATGTACCTGTACATGTAGGCATGTACATTACCAGTACCTTCAACAAATGTGCTTACATTAAAGGGTAATCCAAGTGGATACTGGTAACCGGCTAAAGGTACATGTAAGTATTGACATACTTGAAGCACAGTGCACACCTCCATGCTTTCTGTGTTGTTAGTAATGGAGAAGACAAATGTGATGTAATTATGTACCATATATAACTAATGAATCTATTTTCATGCATCGTGTACCAAGGGCATTAAGTGATACCAGGAACACGTCACACTCACTCAGTATGATTGTCTCATAGTACAAGTTTACTGGAAGTTCTTGTACAAAAAGTCACAAGTAGCTATTGCTTATCTGACTCAAACTGGCTAATTACGGTACCTTTGCATGCTCAGGGATCAAGTGGTAAGAGGTCTGCACTAGGAAGTGGGAGGTTGTGGGTTAGAGTCCTCCTCCCAAGCTTGTTAATTATTATTTCACAAGCCTTTAGACAATGCACTGAGTGTACCTATGTACAATGTTTAGAAAAATACATCGGTGAAGGACAAACCAGCCAATACAGAACTTCGAATATTTGACTTACTTTTAACCCTAACACTCCTCAGTCCTCCAACAGGTGAAGGATTGAGGAGGGTTAGGGTTTAGAAATAAATAATTTCAAGGATCATGCAATACAATACTCTACTACAATCCTTGAAATTACACCTTTGTGTTTCAGTCAACCTTACTTTTGTTTTCACTTTGTATTTTGCTGTTTTAATCTGTTTGGTATTTTGGAGCTTGACTGGTTTTTATGCTGATGAAAATTTGCATATCCGCGAGCAAAACTGTAGCAGCATCCAAGAGAGTAAACCTCTAAGTTGCTCTTTATTTATTCTTTTTTTCATATTTTGCTAATTTCAAATTTCTTTGGCAGCTTGTCTTTGTGTAAGTATACAGCAATAAGCCTGCAGGCAGCCGTGTCTTGGAAATATTTTCAAAAAGCAAATTTGGGGTTCAAAATGTGAACGTGAACATGTAAACCGACCTGTGTCTTCCCTGATGTACATGTACATCACACCAACAGCTTCTTCACTCGTCCAGACAAGCACGGACATATTTTTTTTTTACCCGAACCTCCCTGTAAATTCAACGCAAAGAAGGATTTCAAACAGTTTTCAAATGTTGAAAAAGAATATAAAGAGGCAAAAAAATTGAGTCAAGTAAAAGTCATTGCATGGATCCTCAAAATGTTACCGCTAATACACGTAGGTGTACACAGTGGAAAGTACTTTATATTTTTCCAGAGTCAAAATTGCTTTTGTTGACTTTAGGGGGGTGGCTTGTTTTGGTAAAAGATCTTCCAAGCATGGAACTCCCAAGAGACCGCTTTTCATTCTATGCAAATCCACAGTGTAATCACAGTCATCAAACTTCCTGTCAAAGGTCAACAACTTGTGACACATTGACTGTGGCAAAACAAGTGTGGTGCACTGGGCTGCAGAACTCTTTTGGGTGAAGTAACAGATGCACTAAATGTCTAGTGTGCACTTGGATAGATTTGTTGCAAATGAAATGAATTTCTATTGCCTGGTTAAAGAGTGCATGTGGCAATAATCTTGCTGATATGTCGAAGAGATCAACACTGTCATACATCTGAAAAATGAGAAACTAAGATACTTCACACTTAATTTGTCAGTAAAATAAGTCGGTTATCAATGAAATGTGAGCTTGTGTCTTGCTAATGTGGGGTAGAGTGGATGTGCCATGAATTACCATCTGTTCAAAGCTACTTCTGTGTTAAGTAAACAACGCTGATCGTCCTTGGTAGTTGTAGATGACCATAGACCATGCCCCACAACATACTGCTATGTAGGCCTGCCTTTGGGCCCATTGAGCCAGCCCATTGAATCACACACTCAATTAATGCATGCTTGTTTAACAGCAATGGAACCTAGTGTGAAGGCTGGTGGGTTGAATAACATTTCAAAACAAGAGCAAATGGTTGTGAACCATGGGCGGTGACCCTTAGTTTATGTATTATACTTTTTTCACAAATTATAAAAAAAATTGTGTGGATACTTCGAGTTTCCCCTGTAGTAGAAAATCTGTGAAGTGGAGATAGCTAGTACAAAATTATTAAATAAAAATCCTGTCAGGATGTACATTTATGTTTTGATTTAATGATAAGTAGTATAAACTTTAAGAGATCAAAATATTAAACAACTCAGGTGGCATACAAGTACAGACATGTATGTGCCTTACAATTATAGAAATATACAATTTTAAACCTTCATTTTTTAGCCATCATTGCTCCTTTTTTTTCTCTCCAGATCTGCATGTGAACTGCACAACCAGCCACTATGAAGGCTCTCATCCTGGTTGGAGGATATGGCACGAGGTTGAGACCCCTGACCTTGAGCCGGCCCAAGCCACTGGTGGAGTTCTGCAACAAGCCTATGCTTCTGCACCAGGTGGAAGCCTTGACAGCGGTAGGTATCCGGCAGCCTGCCGAAGCCCAGTTTGTTTGGTCATCAGGTCCCAATCCAGACCCCATGATCCAGATCATTTTTATGATCTGGGTGCAATCGATCATTTTTATGATCGCTCCTTTGCTCTTCACAGCTGGTCGATCCGGTTTGAAATCTCCAATTTCACTTCCCTTTTTTGAAACAATCTTTTTACAACCTCAAAATAAAAATTTCAGGCTCTTGGTTGATGTGGGAATCAACAAATTTTGCAGTAAGATCTACCAATCATGCAAAGATCGAGCAATTATGCGTGTTTCAACCGATCCAGCCCAGCATCATATATGAGATGAACAAGGTCTGCTTCAGATTTTGGCAGCAGAATGGCTATTTTTATAGTAATCTATATATATTTTCCTCAGTCCTTTTTATTTAATCATGAAAATACAATTGTACAAATTAAAAGAAATACCGTCAGGAAATGATGATTCCTAATCTATTAAAGAAAGTCATGCCTGTTTGGTGGTGCTGTGTCGACCTAAGGAGAACCAAAGATTGGAATTGGGTCATCGCCGGTTCAAAAGGGCAGAAATTCTGTATACACATTCTTTGTCTCCAAAATAAGTGACCTCAATCTGTTGCTGCGTGTTGCAGACCCAAATGGATATCTTCCTGTATCTTCCAGCAGTGTCGTCTGCTTCCTTGTACTGTGTCTCTCTGATATGACAACAATCCTTTTAGAATTCTGTATTTATGCCGGCCACCTAAGTCATGTTCCCTTTTTTGTTCAATGTCAGAGAGCTTGAGGGCCCCTGAGTAAAAACAGCAACAGGATTTTGCCTGTGGATCTGCCTTTGGACCGTATATCCAACCACGTCTGCTTTGGATCAGACAACTACCAAAAGTGGTTTAAAAATGGCCAATGGTGGACCCTGATATCCCACTCTGCTGTCTCTTTTTTTCAGGTGGGAGTCAAAGAAATAGTTCTTGCTGTCAGTTACAGGGCAGAACTTCTTGAAGAGGAACTAAAAGAACAAGCCAAAAGGGTAAGAAAAACTGCAAAACACCGTAGCCTTGCAGTAGCCATATCACGGGGGAGATTGGTGTAGATTTGGCCTTATGTCAGTATAGTGGAGAGCTGTTAAGCAAAAGGAAGACTGGTGTCCTGACCTCTTATCATGCATGTGGAAAAGGAGGGTTGGTGCCTACCAGGCATCTAAAAACCATCTTGGTGCCTTCGCACATCGCAAGCTCACTCTTCGCCATTGGCCGATGATCAAGCCCTTAACTGTGCAGTGCCTATTGGAGTGGTTCACATTGAAATGAGTTGACTCGGAGGTCAGACCTTTTGTTCATGAGATAGGCTACGTCTGAAGCGAGTGGTTGCAAGGCTTTGTCTGTGGGAAGTTGCTGTAGCTGCTAGCCATTGGCTTCCATGTTATTTCTATCCGCAGCCATAACTTCGGTACGCCGCTTAACCCTGTGGCTGCCTCTGAAAGTAGTGGGTATGGCGGGGAATGAAAACTGTCCCTGTGGAAGCCAATGCCTCGGCGGCTATGTCTATTGCCCACAGACACATGTATTACTGCTAGCCACAGGCAAAACCTTTGGATACAGCACACCACAAAGCCTGAGTGGGTTACCACCATGATACATACGTATATTGTCTGCCACTGGTTCCCTGCAATTAAAGTACATGTATTTGCAAAACCATCTGCTCAGTGGCTCTGTAGGATAGAAGGTTGAAGTCTGCGCATGGTAAATCATACTGCAAAAGTACTTAACTGCCTAGTGTGTCTACATGCTGAAGGTCCGTTGTCCTCCGTGTGGTAACTTAATACACGTACACCGTATAATATCAACTGGTGATGATTAATAAATTTATTTGAAAATAATATGCGAACATATACAAATACAAATTTAGTTGTCGTTTGGTTCTGATCTGGGTCATTCCATGAGGTTGGGGCACAATTTGTGATGGTGTCCATTGTTACGTGGGTTCCGTAAAAATGAGCAGCTGTTTCCCCGCATGTGGATTCCAAATGATACATCTTGCTCGGCTGAATACAGGTGTGTGTGTTATTTTTACAAAGTAAATGACCTACTGACAGGTGGTAAAGTTACCCATGTGACAATGGACACCGTCATAAACTGTGCCCCAGCCTCATGGAATGACCCATCTGCAGTAACAGGTTGTGTACATGTAACAGGTGGTTCTGAGTTATTCTGCTGCCGCATCAAAATCTCTGATGCGTGAATCTTTCGAAAATATGCAACAAGAACGACACTAGGCCGTCAATTTTTGTGCAAGGATGAGGAGAGAATAATTTGGATTTCTGGAATTTTAGGTACTGTCGCCAAACAATCGATTTTCAGTTGGAAAACGGTTTTGAGCAAGTAGTAACTTGTTGGAAAATGGAATATCTAAACAAATGCGTGAACATTTCAGTGTTCTTTTAAAAAATTTTTCTTGTTTTTGATAGTTTTGGCTGTTAAAGCCCCAGACAGACACAATCATCGGGTGAGCTGTTAGTTCTAATGGGACAGGAATTCTCACCAATGGCGGCTAGCAAATTGCTTAGCTGAACGACCAATGCACGTGTACTAAACAAGTTTTAGTTGTTTTGGTTGTGACGGTATTCCGCTGTACAATAAATAACTCAATCCTCTCATCAAGGGGAAATTTCATATGGTAGGAAAGTGAGCGTGAATGTGGCTTTGTGATGTCGAATCAGATATTTGTGCTGCGAATTTTAAAAAGCTGAACACATTCCAACTTAAATGTGTTCCGCTGCATTGACTTTGCTTCTCCAGTTTGCCCGAAATACACATATGAAGCCGCTTTACTGTCCGTTTTTTGGTTTCTCGATAGTTGGGAGTGAAGATCACAACATCCCATGAAGATGAACCGCTAGGAACAGGTAGAATAGAGAATATGGTCAGCTATCCGAATTTTTTCAAACAGTCTAAATTGATTGTTCTGTTTGGGCTATTATTTGCCTGAAAACCGAGACACTTGTAAATGCACCAAACATTTTGCGTTAGGTTGTTGTTACTTTTTGGAATTAGTTTTCGAGGCAGAAATTTGCTTTTTGAAACATTAAAGTAAACTTCAGAATTTGTAAGTGTAAAAGTCTGAGCATTGTGTTATTCACTTCTTAAAACATGGTACGTGTATTTTATGGGTGGGTTTTGTGCATTTTTGATAACTGTGATAGAAACAAAAACCAAAGGTCTCATATAATGAAAGAATACATCTATGATTAATTTTTTTCCTTTCATATAGCCGGTCCCCTGGCTTTGGCTCGTGACATCTTAAAGGAAGACGGGGAACCGTTCTTTGTCTTAAACAGCGACATCAGCTGCGAGTTTCCGTTCCAGGAAATGTTAGACTTCCATAAAAAGCACGGCAAAGAAGGGACCATTGTAGTAAGTTCATGTTGTCCCTCCAGTTTTCTGTTTACAGTTTACGGTTTACTTGTCCAGCAAGCCTCTTTTTTGGGGGGGCACATCAAAGGAACAACAGTTAGCTTCATCCTCACTGACGGGATACTTTTTTTTATCAGCTTTGTACAACAACTTTTCGATGGCTGTATATTATTTTTGGAATTGGTAGAGTGGATCTGTGTCCTCATCCACGTATAGAGCTGCCAGAACATTCTGAGATTCCTTCAAACTTTGCAAATTTGTACTGGTTGAAATGTATTATAACATAATTCTAATATAATAACAATATGATTTTCCATTAGGCTTACATGTGTGCACATGCAGAATGTAACATTTGGCTACTTGTGTGCTAATAAATATTGCAATCTGAGTTGGCCCCTGTGTCAAAGGTCACATGGACTGTTATGTGCTGACCAGTCCCTAACTATAGTCAAGTAAGATACTACAAAATTATTCAGATGAGGCCGTGAGATCTAAGTACACGTAGGCATCAACTTTTTTATTCCCGTATGATATCTTTTGCCAATCATCTGTAAATGTCGCGTCGTGGATGACCACATATCGATTGTTAATGTTCTGAAATGTTCTTTGTATCATTCAAAAGCCTATTTTTTTGTCTGACACAGGTCACAAAGGTGGAAGAACCCTCCAAGTATGGAGTGGTGGTCTATAACGAGTCGGGAGAAATCCAGAGATTTGTCGAGAAACCGCAGACGTTTGTATCCAACAAAATCAATGCCGGAATGTACATCTTCAGTGCGGGTATTCTGGACAGGATAGAGGTGTGTGGATCAGTAGCTATTTTCTCAGGCATTGAAGTTGTGTTCTTGAGCCAGATACTTTGCTGTAATTTCCTCATGCACAGAGTGATGCCTGTACAGTTCAGGTGTGACACTCGGGGTGGTTTTTTGTCTTTGCTCTTTTGTGTAAAAGCAAGGCTTTCGGCTTGTCACATGTTGGCCTCCACCAAACAAATGCCAGATACTTGTTTGGCATTTCCTTAGACCTAGTTAAAGTAATTGACTCAAATTCTCAAATGCTGTTTTGCAGTTGAAACCGACGTCCATAGAGAGGGAGGTCTTCCCACAGATGGCGCTAGATGGCCAACTCTATGCAATGAACCTACAAGGTAAATTCACCGTTCATGTTGCAGATGGAAAAGCTAAAGATGGAGCTTTTGAGCGATGGAGACTTACACAGGTCAAGTGAGCCCCCAAAATTCTCTTTTTGGGATGAAACGATCACCCTTGATGGGGTTTGAAGCATTCTCGTGGTCCTGTGGAAGCTAACCTTTCAGGCAAATTGATGATGATTTGATGATGATCAGGCAAAACTGATGTTTTTCATTTTCTAATGCGTACAGTAGTATTTTGCTCACTTTAAGACAAGGCGTCACACATATAAAAATTATTGCAAAAATACGAACTTCAAAACGATGAATCTTATTTTTATCCGTCACAGGTTTTTGGATGGATGTGGGCCAGCCCAAGGACTTCTTAACCGGTATGGGGATGTATCTGAACTCTCTCAAGCAGAAGAACTCCAATACGTTGCATACTGGCCCCGGAATAGTTGGAAATGTCCTAGTGGTGAGTGCTGTACACGATCTGCTCATTGACCCTATTGATCCGGGCTGTCTCCTGAAGGAGCTTATAATAGGGCTGTGCCATATATCCGAACATTCGATCGATTATCAAATATTCGAATATCATTTTCCAAATTTGAATGTATTCGAATGCGAAATTCCCAAAAGGAAGGGAGAATTTTCTTTTGTTTTAAACGAGAAAAAAATTGCATTATGGAGGCTTGTTTTAAGCAGATTCAAATGAAAAGCGACAGAAATCTTACTGTGATTAAAAATAAATTGTTCATTACAAAATTTAAAAGGAATAGAAGTTTTCAACCGGGAAAGAAGCATGGCTGGAAATATTCCAAGACTCGAGAAGCTACTATAGTGATTATTATGTTCAATTGTGTGCATTAATGCAACTGATTTCGTATATGGTTTGTTCATCGACAATCTGCTGGTTGGTACGACTGAATATTCGGGTATTCGGTCAAATTGAATGTTTAATGTTGAATATTCAAACAGACTCAGCAGTAGCCTGTAAATGTCCTTCATGATGCCTTGCTCTACTAGTACTAGATGTTCCAAAACACTTCGTGGTTTGAGGAAATTTCTCAAGAATTGTCTGTTGCCTGGAGTTACAAGGAATGTCAAGTTAATATGGTGATGTCAGAGCGCCCATCAGTGACCTCCGTCAGTAACTTGGGATATTTTTCATCCTTCATTGCACCCCACGGGGAAGGTTTGCGTATCTGGCTCTTTGGGAGCAAAACGCTAAAATGCTCAAAGAAAAAGAGGGGAAGAACAGATGTCAAAGTTCAGTGTACGCTGAGGTTGTGAGATGCAGATGTAGAGACCGTCCTTCATCAACCCTTTGGAGTCGGAATCCTATGAAGTGTTTGAAGAAAACAATGGACTATTTTTGAATATAATCAGAACAAGCTACCTTTAAGTTTCCACAATTGACTACACAAGATCTTGAACCTGCTAGGAAATGCCATTGATGGTTTTCTGGGAAAATATACACATGCAAGTTTTTTTTACTTCTGTCTGTCTTGTCGTAGGATCCCACTGCGAAGATAGGCGCTAACTGCAGAATAGGCCCCAACGTGGTCATTGGGCCCAACGTGACGATAGAGGACGGGGTGTGCATCAAACGCAGCACTGTTCTACGGGGCACCACCATCAAGTCACATGCCTGGATGGACTCATGCCTGATTGGCTGGGCGTGTATTGTGGGACAGTGGGTAAGACGTTAGTTCACTTTTGCATGTGGATAATTCCAGAAATTCAGGGTCCATTTTTGTCATGTCCGCATCACATCTGACATACTATTTTGTAAGCCCAGAACACATTTTCTAATTTTTAATGCGATTTGCCTCCAAACAAATAGTAATAGTTTGAAATCAATTCCGTTGATATTTCCATGTCAAATAACAAAGGTCAGGGACACAAAAATGTCACTCATTCGGACCGCTAATTTCTGGAGTTACCCACATGCATATTGGCTTCCGACTGCGGTGGTACAGATTGCTCATCAATCCTACAAACTTATCCGGCAACCAGACTTGGAAGCTGTTACAGCAATGGCACCTCAGTCACACACAAGTGGTATGCGGGCGTTAAATGCCTCTTCGACCAATAGGGTGCCTGTGTGATTTGTCAAATGCACCTGTGCATCAAGTTGATGACTTCAGGCATGAGTGTGGCAGGACCTCCACAGTCATGGAAAATCATGGAGAAGTTGTCCAGGAAAGTCCTAGGAAATTAGGAAAATATAGGATGTCCAGGAATCCTTTTGTCAGAGGAAGAAAGTCATGAAAATTCATGGAAATTAGGACATTGCAAGGGTAATTTTGTATGGGCTGCTGTTGCTGTTATAACGGAATTTCCAGGCTGTGTAATCGGAAATCTGTACAAGTAGCTACGCTGATCTTCCAGTTCATAATGCCAAACAACATTTCTCTGCAAAACAACATTACATGTCGTGGAAATTGTCTCATTCTAGTTCTGGCAAGTCCTGGAAAAGTCATTGAATTTGGTTTTCAGATTTCTCTCGGGACCCTAGTGTGAAGCCTCTGCAGTGCTTGTATCTTGTCAGCTCAGTTCGAATCTCTCAACACACTTTTTCCCCCATGGAGATTTTGTGAGAATATAAAGCCCAGCCACAGTTGTTTTACTTGGGACTGGATGCCCCTTGAAAGCAGGGTTGTAGTAGAGTCCTTTCACAGGACTAGTTACAAGAAACAGGGTGAACAATGACAAAGGAACGCTTTCATCCCATCTGTCGGGTAGCTCATGACTTGGCTTAAGGCTAGATGACTTGTGATGGACTTGCAGAGACTTGTAAGGACTCAATTTCAATCATGCTTGAAAGTTATGGTCAACAAATTTTTACTATATTGAAAGATCCAGGAAGGTTCCATGCGAATTTTATCAAAGAGGTTGTGAGTCATGTCAACAATACTACTAACATGACAATGAAGTATCGATTGATAAAGCTTTCCAAGTCAAATGCAAGGACAAGGGAGATATAGAGGGATTTTCTCTTCAAATCTGCCTCGTGTTATTTCAAAACAAATGGTAATAAACGTACCCATTGGCAATTGTGTTTGGCACTGTCATTTTGAAAATAGTTCGCGGTACCCGCTGCTTCACCTGACACGGACCGGCCAGCCGACCCTGGCGAGCTCGATGGTCGAGTGGTTAAA